TCTAAAACAATCCCAAAGGACTAACGATAAAGCATACTACCTGCCTCCACAGGAAGAACTGATATTGATTGAATACAGACTGAAGCATGCTATTTTCACTTTCTTTCTTTCATTTTTTCTTTTATTTGAGTCTTCTTGTACAAAATGACTAATATGGAGATGTTTCAAATAATTGCACATGTATAATCTATATTGCTTACCATCTCAGGGAGGGATAGAATTTGGAACTCAAAACTTTAAATAAAAAAGCCTAGTAGACCTTAAAAGAAGAGAATGTTACACAAAATACAGCCAGCATTAAAGTGTCAGGAGAGCTGAAGTACCATCCTATAGAGCCTTTATGATCCCATGAACTTCCCTTTTATCATAGTTTTGTCACTTTGGAATAGCCATTAAATACTGTCTTAAAATAGGTAGTTATACGCAGTGTGAAGCTGAGCATTTAACTAAAAGGGAAAAGTTAAACTACTTGCTGCAAAAGCCAAAGCTTGACATGGGTACCATGATTTTATTGGTATTAAGTTCTTAGGATACTTTAAATTAATAACTCCATTAACTGTATTTTCAGAGTTAGAGAAGGAAAAGTTAGTGGGTTTTTATCCTATAGTCCAGTGCTGAGATCAAGCATTTAACTCATTTATAAACCTTGGAGTTGTTCTGCATTTCTCTTATTAGTGATTTGGAGCATTTTTTCATATGGTTGTTAATAGACTGCAGTTCTTCTTTTGAGAATTCTTTGTTTAGGGGTTGGCCTGTGGTGGCCCTTCCTGCTAAGGATGATTTTTACATTGTTTAAATAGAGCAAAACTTATTTAAAATAACATTTTATGTATAATAAAACTTTATTTAAAAATGCAAAAAACGTTCTTAGCTCAAGGCACATAAAAAACACACTGGACCTGGTCCATAGTCATGTTTTGTTGACCCCTGCTTTTAAAGACCATTTTCTGTTAGGGAACTGTAATAAATACTTTAGTGGAATGAGCACTGGACTAGAAATCAGAACACCTAATTCAATATTTGTGAAATAGGAATAATAATTTCATCTCTGTCCTAGGATTTTTATGAAAATCAGGAATGACCTATAGACAGCATGGCATAGTACTAAATTTAGTCAAAATTGTACATTCTCCAAAAAACTACAAATATTTGGTTGATACATGGTTTATTTATTTTTCCATTTATCTCTCTGGGGAATATTAGCTGCTTCCTATGGGCTGGTCCTGGAAGTTGATCCCTTTTATTAAAGCTCAAATGCAGGAAAGATCTTTTGGTTCTCCTGTTAATCTTACTATACTGCCCCTTTCCTTAAACTCTGCAGACCTGGCAGACTGCATTTTCTATCTGGGATTCCAGAATGGAAAACCGGAGGCTTTGGGGAGTGTGACTGAGATAAATAGTTCCCTAATATGTTTAAACCCTTCCTCTGCTCCCTGCCTAATTGTTGGAGCAGATGGAGATGTGTTTGGAAGCTTGATAATCATCTGGCCAAGTAGGGATCTTGAAAAGGAAGTCTCCTCCTCAGTGTTAGAGGGCATTGGTTCCTGAAACTGAAGTTACTCGACATCCCAGGCTTGGAAGTCTTCATGAATCAAACAAGTGTGGCATGCCCGTTCTAGCTCCCATGTTCCTTACCTGCTGTTTAGTCTTGATCTTAAAAACAAACCTATCTGTGCCAAGGGTAATTTTCTTGAAACTATGGGACTAGCCCCACCCTGTATGTAGACTAGAGATCAGATTAGGTGAGCAGGATGAATAGTTCATCCCACTTACTAACTTCCCCATGTCTGTGTTAGTGTCACCAGGCATTGGTGTTCCAGTGTCTTTCCTTCACCTCAAGATGGAATCCATTGATTTCTGCATTGGTGAAGCTGCCCTTTTCCTGACAGGGGTGAAGTAGGCCTTGAAGGTGTCTTGGAGAACCCAAAGGACACTTGTGTATTGGGTGCCCATTTTAAACTTCTTTTTAATAATCTTTTATAAAGAAAATGCTTGTTTCCCTTGCCTAGTGCAGTTGACCCCCTTATTCTCTTGCTCCTTTCTTTTCAGTGCCATTCTGAATCAGAAAGCTATGGCTAGCAGAAATTGTGCTGAGACCACCTCCCTTGCCCCTGGCCACCTCCTTACCCACTCGTCTTTCCCACTTCCTTCCTTTTCATTATTATTCTGGCTTTTTTTGGTTTGTTTGTTTTTTGCTAGGTAATGGGGTTAAGTGACTTGCCCAGGGTCACACAGCTAGTAAGTGTCATGTGTCTGAGGTCGGATTTGAACTCAGGTCCTCCTGATTCCGGGGCTGGTGCTCCATCCACTGTGCTGCCTAGCTGCCCCTTCATTATTATTCTGGATGGAAATCACACACTGCCAGCCAAAGCCTTTAGGCACTTCTGTATAATTCTATGGGTTTTGTGGGTTTTTTCTTTTGTTTTTGCTTTGGTTTTTATTTTAATTGTTCTTCAAAACCAACAGGTATTTGGAAACATAGGAAAACTCTCACCAATGGTTGCTGTTAGTTAGATCAATAAAGATCTTGACTAAAAAAAAAAACACTCAGAACAACCCTGTCAGGTGGGTGCTATTTATATCCCCTTTTCACAAATAAGGAAACTGAGGCAGGTAGAAGTGAAGTGACTTGCTCAGGGTCACACAACTAATATGTGCCTGAATTTAGGTCTTCCTGACTCCAGGTCCAGAACTCTATCCATTGTACTATTCAGTTGCCTCCTAGAAAACCATTTGATAAAGTATCTCATACTATTTCTGTAGGAAAGATGAAGTGAAATGGGCTCTACAATAGTAGCAATAGATGCATTTGGAATGTTTGGACCTAAAAGGTAGTCATTAATGGTTCTGTGTTACTTTGGTGGTCTCCAGTGGAGTACCAGGGGGATCTGGGTTGACATTGTGTGGTTTGTTTTTCTTTTAATTAATCATCCGCACAAAACACATTTATTAAGGCCTAATAAGTACAGAGCTCATGCTGATGCCTTCCCCTCTTCTCCCCTGTCTCATATGAAGAGGTGGCTCCTTCTTGCCAGAGCAAACCCCTTGACATGTGCAAGTGATCACATTCCATCCTGTGTTCTCCAACAAATTGCCCCCTCTATCATCCCCATTCTCCCACTTATCTTCAATTTCTCCCTGTCTTCTGATTGTTCCCTTACTTCCTAAAAACACACCTATGCTCAAAAATCCTCCACTTGATTCATCCGTCCTTGCTAGCTATCATCTTACCACTCTCCTCCCTTTCGTGACCAAACTTGAGAAAACTGTCTACTTCTGGTACTTCCACTTCCTTTCCTCTTCCTTTCTCTATGACTCTCTGCAGTCTTGCTTCTAACCTTGTCATTCATTGAGACTTTGATTTCCAAAGTTACCAGTGACCCCTTAATTGCCAAATCTAATGGGCTTTTCTCATCCCTAATCCTTCTTGACCTCTCTTCAGCCTTTGACACTGTTGACCATCCTAGTCTCCTTGATACTCTCTTCTTCCTAGGTTTTTGTGACACTGCTTTTGTGGCCCTCCTCCTATTGTCTCCTTTGCTGATCATCCTCCAGGTCACTTCTATTAACTATGAATGTACCCAAGGCTCTGTCTTGGGCCCTTTTCTCTTCTTCTTCTTCTTCTTCTTCTTCTGTACTATGTATTTCACTGAGAGATCTCATCAGCTGTAATAGATTCAATGATCATCTCTCTGCAAATGACTCATAGATCTATTTGTCCTGCCCTAACTTCTTTTGTAACTTTCATGCTCTTGTCTCCAACTAACTATTGGATATCTCAAATTGTATGTCTCATAGCCATCTTAAACTTAACATGTTCAAAACTGAACTCATTATCTTTCCCTCAAACCATCCTTTCTCTTTGACTTCCCTGTTACAATTGAAGATACCACCATCCCCCCAGTTCCCCAGACTCACAGCCTGAATGTCATCTTCTCTTCCATACTCTCTCTCAGCCCCCACATCCAAATAGTTGCCGAGTCCTGTTGTTTCTCCCTTCGTAACACATCTGGTATCTACCCCCTTCTTTCCTCTGATGGGGGCCACCATTGTAAAAGACCTTGACAGGTTAGAACAGTGGACAGGATTGACTGAGATGAAACTGAGTAGGGGTAAATGTAAAGCCTTATCCTTGGGCTAAAAAAACCATGAGTACAAGAATGAGTGAAGACATGGTTAGACTTCATTTGTCTGAAGAAGATCAGAGTGTTTGGGAGGATTTTTAAGCTCAATATGAGTCAATAGAATGACATTGTAGGCAGCAAAATTAACACGACCTTGGGCATAATTTCCACAAGTAAGGGAGTGCTAGTCATATTGTTCTATACCCCAGTCACACCATATCTATAGTATTCCTTTCTAGGGAATATATTTTAAGAAGGATATTGTAATCTGGAGAACATCCAGATGAGGACAACAAAAGGATGAAAGCCGTCTAACCCATGCCATAGGAAGATAGCGTGAAAGAGCTGGGCACGTTTAGCCTGGGGAAGAGAAGAATCCTAGGAGACCTGATGGTTGTTTTCAAATATTTATGTCTGTTATGTGGAAGAGCAATCAGGCTTGTTCTGTTTGGGAGAACTAGGATAAATAGATGGAAGTTGTAAAAGTGTCAGATTTAGGCTGGATGGAGGGAAAAACTTGCTAAGAGTCAGAGCTTCCCCCAAATGGAATGGGCTCCTTGGGAGGCTTGGGGCCCTCCACCATTTGGCATTTTAAGCAAAGGCTGGAGGAGGGCTTGTTGGGTATATTGTAGAGAGTGTCCCCTTTAAAAAAAGAATTATACGTATTTTTTTTTCAAACGGCAAAAATCCGTTTTCCCTCCCCCACACCTTCCCCATTGAGAACAAAAGAAAAACAAAGCCCCTATTACAGGCATGTATAGCCAGGCACAATAAATATCTACATTGACCAAAAGTGTTCTTTTTCAGGTTTGGGTTGAATTTGATGGCTGCTGAGGTCCCTTCCAACTTGGAAAATTCTGTGATTCTGTGTTTTAGGAAAACAACACCCATCAGCGAATTGCAGAGTTGAGAAAGGAAGGTTTGTGGTCTCTTAGACGTCTGCCAAAACTTCAGGAGGCCTTGCGTCCGAAGTCTCACTGGGATTATCTCCTTGAAGAGATGCAGTGGATGGCGACAGACTTTGCTCAAGAGAGAAGGTGGAAGATGGCCGCAGCCAAGAAGGTATCTTGTTTATTGCCACACTTTGGGGTCACTGCTTCTCAGCAGAACAACCAGCTGGCATTTTTGTAGAGTGAAACAAGGCCTCTTGCTGCTTGGGGCAGAAGCTACAGTGAATCATGTCATGTCATCTCAGCTGGCCCTCACTACTGCAAGGCAATCCTTTCACTGTTCTCTGGCTGTCTCTCTGTTGCCATATCCCATGCTGCATCCCTGCCGTCCCCTCTCCTCCCTGGCATTGCCCTCTCTGGGGCATCACCTACCTTTGAATCTCATTTTCTCCTTTTGAGATCATTTTCCATGTCCTGCCTTCTCTGTGTAGGGGTGCCTGCCCCTGCTACACTGCCTAGGTGACCCCTCTCTGATGCCCAACAGCATTTTGTTCGTGCCTCTTTCATGAAAATTCCCTCATTTCTCCTTACATTATAGTTATTTGTATTTATGTAGCGTCTTCTATGTGCCTGGCACTGTGCTAAGTGCTTTACAGATATCTCATTTAATCCTGACAATAACCCTGAGAGGCAGGGCCTATTATTATCCCTGTTTTACAGTTGAGTAAACTGAGGCAAACAGAGGCTACGTGACTTGCACAAAGTCACACAGCTAGTAAGCATTTGAGGCTGGATTTGAATTTTTCTTCCTGACTCCAGGTCCAGTGCTCTATCCACTACCCAGCTGTTATGGTGACGATGGAATATCTGAGTGGAAAGTCCAGTAGGCAGTGGTTGGAGTTCAAGAGAGAGATAAGGACAAGATCTGTAATTTGGGAATCAGCTGCTTAAAGATGCAGCACCTGTAAGAAATGATGAGGTCACTGAAAGAAGGCAGAGAGCAGGGTCTATGAACTTGATTTATATATATCATACATACATATACATGTACAGATATTCATATACATATATGTATATATAAAACAAAGGCCATATGTGTAGCACAAACAACCCTGGGTGCAGAGAGCAGAGCAAAGAGATGAAGGCCTGAAAGAGCCTGTGAAATCCCTATGTGTAGTGGGATGGGGAGGAAGAACCATGGCGGCAGAGGCGGGGAGCTGAAGAGACAGCAGGAGGGCCAGCGGTGTCTGGGAGAAGGAAGAGGGCTTGCTCCTGCAGAGGCCTGAGAGGGCTGGAAAGAGTTCAGAACAAGGGAAGGTTTAAGGAACTCCAGGTGAGGACCCTCCCTCCACCAACATAGGCTGGTGTGGTCTCTGTCATCTAGGATTTTAGAGGATTGCCTGAGTACTGGAATAATCAGTGTTTTGTACAAGTTCATACAGCCAGGACGGTCAAGAGGTAGACCCTGATCCTGCGTCTTCCTAGCAGGAATCACAGAACTTGAGAGTTGGCAGGGACCTCAGAGGCCATCCACAAAAGGAACCCTCCCCATAGCATATCCAGCCAGTGGGACTCCATTGCCTCTGGAGACAGCCTGTTTCAGCTCTGGACGGCTCTGTTAGCAAGTTTTTTCTGGGCATCAAGCCTAAATTTACCTCTTTACGGCTTCCACCCACTGGCCCTGTTCTTCCCTCTGGGGCCAGAACAAAGCAGTCTGATTCCTCTTCCACATGACAGCCACTCCAATACTTGAACATAGCTATCATGCCTCCCCCATCTTATACTTGCAAAGCAGATCTTTTTGTACCTAAGAGGGAGACTTCACCTTTGTCCCTGTTGAATTTCATCTTAGTAGATTGAGCCCAGTGTTTTAGCCTGGCAAGAGTCTTTGGGATCTTGACTACTATCTGCCATGTTAATCTCTTTTCCAGCTTTGTGTCACCTACAGATCTGACAAACATACCATCTATGTCTTTATTTAAGTCATTGATAAAAATGTTATATAGCACAAGGCAAGAGACAGGAGCATTCCACCAGAGAGACCTCCTGCCATGTCCCCATTGATCTGTTTACAGCTACCTTTTGAGTCTGGCCATCCAAACCAGTTCTGAACCTGTCTGATTTGTTTTTGTCTAACCCCTCTCTCTCCGTCTCCATCTCTTACATCAGGCTGTCTTTCCAAGGAGGATTTTGATTTTAGGAACAGCCGTTGGGTTTTGTAAGTAGGAGGCCATTGGTGATCTTTGAGTAGTTTCAGTAGAGTGCTTTGCAGGGCTGGTGGAAGCCAGATTGCTAAAGGTTAAGGAAGAAATTTGAAGGAATGTGTGTGAAGAAGTATAGACAGTGAGTCTGGGAGTTTGTAGGCAAAGGCAAAGAAACAGAGATGGCAGATTGAGTAAGTAGCAGAGTTGCTCAAAGGGTCTTTGGGGATAAAGGAGACTTGATAACATTTGTAGATAGAAATGAAAGAACTACGGGAAGGGAAGAAATGGAAGATTTAAAAAGAGATAATTAATTTAGGAGGCTTCTGGAAGAGGTGGAAGGAGATGATACAATTCCCTTGGTATATCTACCAATAAAGGCTGCCCCATTTTACACAGGAGATATGTTTTGGGCATGTTCAGTTGTATTTTTATTAATTAAACTGTATTTTGCAGTTATTTCAAATTCTGCTCTTAGTGAGTCCTTAATTTTACTTATTTCATCTTTCAGTTGGCAGTAGTGCTGGGAATACTTTCATTTTTAGTTTCTTTGCATCTTAGCCTTACTGTGAAGTAGCTAAGGTTCTAAAAATATTTAAGTGCAGCAGTTCACGTTTAACTTAATATTCTCTGTAGATGATTCTTTGGTAAAGAATCACTTTATACAACATAGGAGAGTCTTGTTGAAGGAATTTAGCCTGGAGAAGGAAAAACTCAGGAGGGATATGAGAACATTTCTTTTGGCATTTGAACGGCTGTCACCTGGAAGGGAAAGATCAGCCTTGTCCTGCTGGACTCTGGAGGCCAGAACCAGCAGTACTCGATAGAAGTTAAAAAGGGACAAATGTGGGCATCGATGTCAAGAAAAATGTCCTAACAATGAGATTTATTCCAAAGTGGAGTGGATTGCTGCCTAAGGTGGTGATTGATGATTTCCCTTTTATTAGAGGCCTTCGGGCATAAGCTGTCTGACTTTGCAGATGGAATTTTTGTTTAGGTATGGCATTGATTAGATGGTCTCTGTGGTCCTTTATAACTCTAAGATTTGATGATTTCCTAAATTCTTTTGGGAATAACATTCCTTTACTTACTTACTATATAGATTTATTCTTTTCATTTTTGTTTTTCTTTAAGCATACAATGCATACACTGCATACAGTAGTTCAGCTTTCCCTCTTAGTTGAATTTTCCCTGTAAATTTAGCTAGATGTATTGATCACTTTTTCCATTCTCAATTCCTAAATTGACTTTTTCAACTTAGAGTCAGTTTAATACAAGTTAATATTTCCCTTATGGCCAAAATGCAACCTAATTAAGATCTTTGGTAGAGCAAGGCCATCAGATGACTCGCTGCTCATTGCTTTAAAATTAGATTCCTGAAAATGAAAGTCCCAAAATTTTTGAGTAGAAAGGTGTCTGATTATTGCGATTTGTGTTGAGTTCACTTTGACCTTTTTTTTTCAATTAAGGTAATTTTTCTTTGCCTATAAAACAATTAATTATGCAGTAGAATACTTACTTCCCTGTGGAATTTTGTATGACTTTTTTTTCTTAAAGTGTCAAAGAAGGATAATAAATACATATTGAAGATAAAAATTTTAGTTGAACTAATGCTTTAAAATTCTACCTATCAGAGTACATGTACTTGGTTAGTAAAGAGAAGCTCTAATATTAGGATGGATTGTATTTTTGGTGAGTTTCATTTTGGATATGATGATTTTTATTAGATGATCAGAACCGTGGCTCGTTACCATGAAGAAAAGAAACTCAATGAAATGAGAAACAAAAAGGAGGAACAGAACAAATTAAGACGTATCGCCGCGTCAATTGCCAGGGAAATTGAGTACTTCTGGTCTAATATTGAACAGGTAGACTCTTGCTTTTTAAGCTTAGTATGTTAATATATTTGATTTTTAAAACCTAGACTGTCTTGTTTCAATTTCTGTTTTCTTCTCCTAGGTTGTAGAAATAAAACTGCATATTGAATTTCAAGAGAAGCAAAAACAAGCATTAAATATTAAGAAATATTCAAGACAAGGTAACTAATTAATTGAAATGTGATATATTCTAATTAAAATTAATGCATTTCTTTTTTTTGTTTTGTTTTTTTTGGTTAGGCAATGGGGTTAAGTGACTTGCCCAGGGTCACACAGCTAGTAAGTGTTATGTGTCAGAGGCTGGATTTGAACTCAGGTCCTCCTGACTCCAGGGCCGGTATTCTATCCACTGCGCCACCTAGCTGCCCCCAAATTAATGTTTTTCTCAAAGCCATAGACCATTCACTTTAGAAGTGATACTCTTATTAGTAAATATTCTGTGGAATAAAAATTATTTTGTATTGTGTTTTTATGATTGAATAAAATAAAAATCCACAAGCCTTATCAATCCAACTTTGTAGGTAAGGACCTAAAGCCACTACAAGCTAGTGTCAAGATAGAAAATGAAAGCAGTATGGTAAGTGGTTTCTTTTTATTATTCTAATTTTTGAGTTAAAGGAGATCTAAGAGATTAGCTAGTTTAAACTATTCCTCTATACTTGACAGCAATCATTCAGTCCTTACTTGAATGCATTTGGGAGCAGAGAGTCTCACAGGGCAGCCCTTTTCATCATCAGACAGTGATAATTATTAGAATAATTGTCTCTTATTGAAGCAAAATATGCTTCTCTGTAACTTCTGCCCATAGGTTCCATTTCAGCCCACTAGAGTAATGCTGAATAAATGACATTTCAGAATAGAGTATCTTTGGATTGTATGAAGTAATATTAAGATATTCAATATCCAAAATCTTTCTTCTTAATTTGCATGAATATAAAAGATATTTGGATGTTCCAGCACCTAGCACTGTGTCTTGGACATAATAGGTACTTAGTAGAGGCTTTTTGCATTTAAATAAAAGTAAGAGTGTTTAGGAAATGGAAAATAATCTTGTTCTTTGGGTTTTAAAAGAATTTTTATAAATTTAATGAGATGAGCACACAGCTATGGGCAATAAATTTGCATTATTTTACAGAAAGTATTTCATACCTATATATTTAACACTGTCAAGTCTGTCTACAGGCATTTATCAAGTGCTTGTTATGTGTTAGCCACTGTGTCTGGCATTGGGGATTAAAAGAAATGCAGAAACACAGTTCTTACCCTCATTATGAGTTCTGTTTTGGACATGTTGAATGTGAGATGTCCATAGCACAGCCAATTCAAGATGTCCAAAAGGCAGTTGGTGTTGCAGGACTAAAGCTCAGGTGAGACATTAGGTCTAAAAATAAAGATCTGGGAATCATTCGTATAGAGGTGATAATTGAAGCTATAGGAGCTAATGAGGTCACTAAGTGAGATAGTATAAAGGGAGAAAAGAAGAGGACCCAGGACAGAGCCTTGGGGGGGCACCTGTTGCCTTTTCATTTAGTCATGTGATCACAAAGTATTTCCTAGGATTAATTCTCCTAGACTTACAAGTTTGACACAGTTGAAAAAGTTTCCATTACTTAAAAAATAAACATTTTTAAAGAATTAGTGTAAGTATGGGAATATGTTTTAATATTAAGATGCAGTCTGTATAAGTTCAATGGATTGTTAACAGAAAATTTATTTTTTTCTAGGCTACAAATAAAAATCTTGAATCAGGAAAATGTTTAAAAAAGAGAATTTGGTAATGTGTGCTCACTGCTTTCTTTATAGAGTGATAATACTTGATTTTCCTTTTTTTTCTTCTAAATTGTAGGCTTCACCACCAGGAAAGAAGAGAAAGGCAAGCCCATCTTTGACTGATGAAGAAGGTTCGTTTCTTCAGAGGCTAGGTTTCTAGGTGTTTGTGTCTTTGTTTCTTTCCATTAATTAAAGTATAGAATATTCTATTTCCTTTCTTGGAGTGAGGATAGAAAAATGATTATTAAGGATCAGTTTTGGTGTTCATTTTTGTTAATTGATAATTTGGCATGCATATTGCCACCACCTTTACTCCTGCAAACTTTTGTTTATTAGTATGAAAGTATTGGCAGGAGAGAAGCATTTTGCCAGAGTGATGGCTCTTCCCAGTCCAAGAAGAACTGAACATTATATTGGACATTTGGAGGACTGGAGTCAGTGATGCTGGCCGAAGGCTAGTGATGGCCCACGAGGCAGGAAGTGAGGGTCTTGGTAGAGATGGAAATGAAGAAGGATGGAATAGGCCTGGAAGACCAAAGGAAGAAGTTAAAACATTGCTGACAGATTGGGTGTGGGAAGAAATGTTTTTGGCTTTGACCGACGCTCTGTTTTATTCTTGTTTCCTCTTATTTATTTTTATGTTTTATATGTATATTTATAGTTTTATTATATATTATATTTTTTATTTTATTTTTCTTTATTCCTTTATTACAGTAATAAAGTATCGGAAACTGCTAGAATAAGATGAAAATCAAAGACTAGACGTTACTTCCAATTTAGTTTTAAAATTTCATTATTTTTGTTTGCTTAATAATAAGAACTCTGTAGCCTGAACTACAAAGGATATCTTTTCAAAGCTGGGTAAATGTCAATGAAATTTTTCTTGGGGGTTCAGGCACAAGACAGCAGATTTCAGTATTTTGCAGTTCAGCAGAGAAGTCAAGAACCATTTTTTTCCAAATGGTTTTATATTTTAGGCTTTCCATTTCATATCTTTGTATGTAAAATGTGTATAAGATTTCATGTCTTCATGTGGAAGATGGCCACTTGAATGTAGTACTACTAAATAAATGTCTCCAGTTCATATGAGCTTAGTTATTTATTCTAAGGGTAGCTCTGTATTACCCAGTCTTTACTCCCTCCTGTGCTGCTGGGTCAGGTCATTGTTTAGGCATGCTTTTAGGAACGAACTTTCCCCATAGGACCACCCTTCTCCGCTGAGATACGTTTGATACGTCAGAGCTGGGGTTTTTGACCCCCAAATCTCCTTCCTTAAAATATCAAGAACAAAAATCTCTTGCCAGTGTAGACATGAGTTCATAGAATCATGTAATGTTAGAGCAGTAGTCTAATTACATTCAGTGGTTTCTTTTGTGTTCAGTGGATGATGAGGAGACAATTGAAGAGCAAGAATCAAAAGAGGCGAATGTAAACCATCAGGCTGAGCTGTGCCGCTTAGTCCGAGAAGGTAAGTGGGCAGCATGAGCCACCATTTGGCTTTGTTGTTGAATTTCCCTAGTGGTTTTTGTTACTCGTGTTCATCTGAACCAAGGTGGCCTGAAAAGGCCTACCAAAGCCCATCTGAGTGATAGCAAGAGTTTATTTCAACAATAGAAATAATCATCTCTTGAAAAAGGGAATCATTGTTAGTTTAGGAAAAAAATTGATGTGCAGGTGTGCTGATTGATAATTTTTTCATAGAGCTGGTCTTCTGGAAGCAAATATCTAAGGAGTTATTCAGTAAGTCCTATTTCGACTCTTTACTGCAGTCTGACATGATTGGCTAAAATAGCTTGATTTCATTTTCAGTGGTTTCCCTGCCTTGAAGTGACAAACAATGCACATAAAAACAAATTGAACAGATTTCTATGTATTATAGATCATTAGCACAGTTGGGGGAAGTCCTTCCATGTTGAAAGTGTGGGACCCATGATGGCTTGTATTTGTGTTGTCTGAGGAGTAGCCTAACTCATTTTGGAGAGGGCTGTTCACTTCTGGCGCTGACTGGTTCATGCATCTGGTGGCCACTGCAGCTCCTGAAGACCCTCTTGTATCTCCAGAAGGGTCACATTTTACCTCAGTAGAGCAGTGCCCTGGTGATCCTTGAAGTATTTGAAGTAAGAAGTGACCAGGGAAGTTTTAGAACTAATCTAGTAATATTTATACAGACAAATTAAAATTCTTGGGGCAATCAGTGACATGTAAGTAAATCAGGTAATAAATCTTTCCCAAAACCTCATAACAAAATGTTAATTTTTCTTTCCTGCTTAATCAGTGCCCCAATTTCCCATAACACCATTGGAAAGGAAGGGAAAACATTAGAGTAGAAAGAAAGTGCTTCTTCTAAGATGACCTTCTATTCCATAGTGCTTTTTTCTTTTTTTTTGGTGAGGTGAATGGGATTAAGTGACTTGCCCAGGGTCACACAGCTAGGAAGTGTTACGTGTCTAAGGCTGGATTTGAATTCAGGTTCTCCTGACTCCAAGGCCAGAGCTCTATTCACTGCACCACCTAGCTGCCCCTGTTATTCCATGGTTCTTTCATCCCGTGAATGTGCCTAGAAATGTTCTTCATGAACTCTGCTGAGAAATATTTAGCATTTATTCATTTAATTTAATACATATTTATTGAACGCTTACATTTATCACTGTGCTAGGCAGTGTGAGTGAATGATGCCTCATTTTCTCTTGACATTCTTCAGCTGAATTGCCTTTGGATGATTTAGTCAAGTTATATGAAGGTGCTTTTGTAGGAAGTTTCAAATGGCCACAGTCTGTGTGTGACAGTGAAGAAACTACCAGTGAAGAAGGTAAGTTCTAATGAATTATTTAATTAAAAGACATTACATTTTTCTGTTCTGGAAAGCTGGAATAACCATTTGTATCCAGGGCTAATAAAATAGATTGTTTGTGTTTCTGTCAGGAGTATATAAATTACTTTATTTTTTAAGAACCACTTGTTTTAATCATTTTAAGTTCAAGTTCAAATCCAGTAAAACTTTTGAATCCAGTTCAGCAAATATTTTTTTAACAGCAAATTCATTTTATTTATTTATTTTTTTAGTTTTCATCATTTACTTGTATAAGATTTTGAGTTCTAAAATTCTCCCCCCCCATCATCCCTTCCCCAAGACAGGATGAAATCTGATATAGGCTATGAATATATGATCATAATAAACATATTTACACATTAGTTATGTTTTGAAGATGAAGCAGAACAAAAGGGAAAAACCTTGGGAAAGAAAAAACAAAAAACAACCAAAAAAAGAGAAAGTAGTATGCTTCAATCTGCATTCAGACTCCATAGTTCTTTCACTGGCTGTGGATAGCATTTTCCATCATGAGCCTTTTGGAATTGTCTTAGATCTTTGCATTGCTAAGAAAAACTAGGTCTAACAAAGTTGGTTGTCACACAGTTTGCCGTTGTGAACGTTGTCTCCAACGTTCTCCTGGTTCTGCTCACTTCATTCAGCATCAGTCCATCCAAGTCTTTCTAGGTTTTTCTGAAGTCCACTTGCTCATCATTGCTTATAGCACAATAGTATTCCATTACATTCATATACTACAACTTGTTCAGCCATTCCCCGGTTAATGGGCCAGCAAGTATTTGTTACGTTCTTTCTAAGTGCCAGACACTCGACATGGAGGTAAAAACTAAACCTGCAGAAGCTTACGATCTACTGGCAGGAAGCAACGTGTCCATAGAAAAATCAATTTCAGAATCTCTAGCTTCTTTAAGAAGTCAGTCCAAGTGCAAACTTCTAACTAGATAAGATCTTTATTAATCCTTACTAGTGTCCTCACCCTCCTAGAATTACTTTGCATATAATTTGTTTATTTATATGCATACATGATGTTTCTCCTCAATAGAATGTATGCCGCCTGGGGGCAGGCACTATTTCATGGCATGATGTCTGGCACATAGTAAAACTTAATAAATATTCATTAAATAAATAAATGAAAATCTATATGCAGTAATTTCAGAATGGGGTAGGAGGGTACTAATAAATGGGAAAATCAGGAAAAGGCTCTTATAGGAGGTGGCACTTGGGTAGGGCAGCTGAGGAGGGAGAACACTCCTGGCAGGCGTGCAGGGAGGCAAGGAGGTGGGATAGAGGCCGCTGTGAGAGGCATCAGCGAGCGGCCTTGTTTGGCTTCAAGGTAAAGGACATAAAGGGGAGTAATATGAAATCTGTGTGGAAGGAGAGTTTAGAGTCAGATTGTGTTTGCTTTGGAATGTTTTAAATTTTTAATGGATTTTTTTGTATTTCTATTACCTTCATTTCCCAATATTGTCATCCCCTGCCCCAATTCCACTCAGAGAGCCAGCCCTTATAACAAAGAATAAGATGGGGAGGTGCCAGCAGCTCAGCAGATATAACTGGCACATGCCAGCCGTGTATGTAGTCTACTGCACCTGTGGTCCCTGCCTTTGCAGTGAAGGGAGGGGGTGTTTTCATATATTATGTTCCACGCTTGATCATTATATTTACACAGTGTTCTGTTAAAATTTGTTTTTTGCTATTTTGGAGTTCAGGGCTTAGAGTGATGTCTTACGTGAAGGAGAATAGGAGGGTTTCCGACTGGCATGATCCAGTGATCCCTGTGGTATAGACCACTTACCCCTTTGTGTCACACAAGGTGGAGAGGGCGCAGACCCTGTCCTGGTGTGAGTCTTCATTCTGTTCTCGCTCATTACCTGTATGACCCGTGGGGCAGCGTGCTGCCCTCTTTGGGCCTCGGAGTTCTCCTCTAGCATGGAGGTCTTGAACCTGGCAATTTCTGGGGCCTTCTGGCTCCCAGGCCTGCCCCTTCTATCCTCTGACTGTCCTGTAGCAGCTTCATTTGTAAAGACAGGTTCAGGAGGCATTCTCCCCAAGCTCTTTGGCTTGATTGCAATCGAGAGGCAAGAGAGTGGACGTTTTCTTAAGCACTTACTGTGAGCAGTGTTGCACGAGGTACTGAGGGGAGAGGCGATGTTTCTAACAAGCAAGGTCCCTGCCTCAAGGTTCTATGCGCTCTTCCATGGGAGGTCACAGTCTAGTTGGAGGTTGATTAGGTCCTAACCAAGGGCAGCTGGGTGGCGCCGTAGTGTATAGAGTTCCAGGCCTGGAGTCAGGAAGACTCATCTTCCTGAGTTCAAATTCAGTCTTACTAGCTGTGTGACCCTAGGCAAGTCACTTAAACTGTTTGTCTCAGTTTCCTCATCTATAAAATGGAGATAATAATAGCACCTATCTCCCAGGGTTGTTGTGAAGATCGAAGGAGATAGCAGTTGGAAGGTGCTTGGCACAGTGCCTGGTTCATAGTAGGTGCTTTATAAATGTTAGCTATTATTATTATTACTTGGTATGTATAAAGACACAGCTAGGTGGCTCAGTGGATAGAGCACTGGACCGGATGTCAAGAAGAACCGAGTTCAAATGTGGCCTCAGACACTGACTAGCTGTGCGACCCTGGGCAAGTCACTTAACCTCTGTTTGCCTTAATCCACTAGAGAAGGAAATGGTAAACCACTGCAGTATCTTTGCCAAGAGAACCCCATGGACGATATGGTCCACGAGGTCATGAAGTGTCAGACACAACTGAACAACAAGAAGTATGTATAAACCTAATTCTTCTGACCTTGGCGTCTCAGAAGAATCCGATGCTGAGGGAAGCAGAGGAGTGGCATCTGACTTTGGCTTTTGACTGTCAGTTCCAGATCCCCAGACCTCTACCTTCCCAACCTCAATACAGAGTCTGCAGGAATATTTTATTTAAGTTTAAAGTGTTTAAATTTAAATTTTAGTAGGCAAATCCAATACTTAAATTTCATGTCAGTTCTCTTAAAGTACTTATAAATTATAGAAATCATTAAATGATTATTATCCTTATTAAACATAGACACATATATTCATCATATTTTGTGTCTTCTCTAGACCTAGAAGAGACCACCAATGCCAGAGAAAAGGAGGAAGTAGTTGTCATAGATTCGCTCCTCAGTGTTGGGCAGTGCCGAGGTGTGGAGAGAACCAGTCCTGGCAAGAAACACACGAGAGATATTGCAGAGGTGGTGGCGGCAGCAGAAACTCTGTTGCCCAAGGGCAGCGCCCGCATCACAACCGCGGTACATCTGGTGGTTTTCGATAGCTGTGGATCTCAGTGCAGGGGCCTGGGGATAGGCCAGCTCCTCAGCCAGGGTGCCAGCACGAGTTTGATTCCAGCGGGGGCTGCTGGCAATAAAACCCTTTAATCAGTGTTTGTTAAATCCTTCATGGAAAACTTAGGGCAACACTGGGCACCTCTGAAAAAGGATACTTTTGCTTTGTCAGTTGGTTGATTTTTACAGAGAAATTACTTATGCCATTATTTTTCAGAATATCTGTTGGCCTAATTTGAGAAGCATTTGTGCTTTTCCTTGATTAAAAAAAAAGAGAGAGACCGTTACTAGTAGTTATGGGATTTTTTTTTCTTTTTTCTTGAACAGGTAAAGTTCACTACTCCATGTTTATTGTATGGGGTTCTCAGAGAGTACCAGAAGATTGGACTGGACTGGTTAGCCAAACTCTACAGGAAGAATCTCAATGGCATCTTGGCAGATGATGCTGGACTGGGCAAGACTGTGCAGGTCATTGCCTTTTTTGCACATTTAGCTTGTAATGAAGGTAAGTAAATCAACTGAAATTTAGGTGTTTGAAATATTGTTTGCATCTTGATTTCCGTGGTGAAATTTTTCTGTAAGTGCTCTTTATATCTGTTTTTGGGGTAAAAAGGTAAATTATTTTTAATTGCTGCTGTACATTTAAAAGATAATTTATAGTATTTAAAATAATATACATTTATGGATTTCTAGTTTTCTGAAAGAAATGTTGATTCTCTCTCTCTCTCTCTCTCTTCTTTTTTTTTTTTCTGTTGTTGAGGCAGTCGGGGTTAAGTGACTTGCCCGGGGTCTCACAGCTAGTGTCAAGTGTCTGAGGCCGGATTTGAACTCAGGTCCTCCTGACTCCAGGGCCAGTGCTCTATCCACTGCACCACCTAGCTGCCCCTGTTGATTCTCTTTGACAAGCAACATTAATCTCCAGTGGGGTTGACTATGTCGGGGTTTTTATTTTACCTCAATTTCATTTGAAAGTTGTCACCTTTAGGTTCCATTCTGTCTCTATCTTTGCTGTAGGTAACTGGGGCCCCCACCTCATTGTGGTTAGGAGTTGCCATATATTGAAGTGGGAACTTGAACTGAAACGTTGGTGCCCTGGTTTGAAGATTCTTCTTTATTTTGGCGGCCAAAGAGAGCTTAGAGCAAAGAGACAGGTATTATGTTCTGGACTGTCGACATGAGAGTATTTCTTTTTTGTTATCATCCCTGCTTTTGCCATTTTCTTCTTTACCTTCTAGTAACCAGTTGTTTTCCATATCCATACCTACATAGGAGAGAACCAGAGAGATGGGATAGACGTTGCAGGAGGTGGGACTTGTGTTAGAAATGGGGAATGTTCCCCAGCATGGAATGGGTGACCAAAGGAGGTGGGGCCATCTCTTCTCCAGATAGCGTAAGAGCTGGAGAAATATGCCAGTCATTGATAGTTTTCATCAGTGTCCTTTGGAAGGGTTTCTAAAGAAAGCCTAAAAGTGATGGTCCATCTCCCGTAGGCTTTGGCTGCAGCAGGTTTTTAGGTACCATTTGCCTCTTTTGTGTTGTATTTTTTTCCTTATTTAGGCACTTGGGGTTAAGTGACTTGGCCAGGGTCACATGGCTAGTAAGTGTCACGTGTTTGGTCTGAGGCCGGATTTGAACTCAGGTCCTCCTGACTTCAGGGCCGGTGCTCTATCCGCTGCGCCACCTAGCTGCCCCTCCATTTGCCTCTTTTGAAAGATACTTTATTCTGCTGTCACCATGTTGGTTTAGTGGCAGTCCTGCAATCCTGGAATGTCGGCTTCATAATGGAATCTTTCTTTTTGGAAGGAGTGGACCGAACCCAACAGCTTCAATGTGTGTATCACCTCCTACAAGCACTTCTTTAAAGGGCACCAGGCCTTTGCCAAAGTGAGGTGGAAGTACCTTGTTGTTGATGAAATGCAGCAGATCAGGAACATGACGGAAAAACACTGGGAGGCACTTTTCAGTCTCCGGAGGTCAGTCTGACACATGTAGTATTTATTTTCCTCATGAAAGTAACTGAAATACTCCCTCCTCTTATTTAAAAGGGGAGCAAAAAGACAAGTGTTAGCAGAATCATGGTTGAACATTGCCATCAAATGTGTGTATTTGGGTGTGTGAATGCACCCTACTAAGTAGCAATGAAATGCTGGGCATTAGCAGTGTGCATGTATTTTGTGTTTCCTTTTAGCCACATACTTACGTCTTTATAGCATTTCTTTAGAGCTCAATTTGTATATTTTATCATAAAGTAAATACAAAGATCATCTTGTATACTTTTAATAGTGTATAATATGAGATGAATAGTCTATATAAATGATACATATAAGTAATGAAATAGTATTTGTCTGTTCCCTTTCCTCCCTTTCCCAAATCTCCACACTTCTGAATCTCTGCTTCTATGTAAAAGCAAGTAAACAGAAATTTTCAGAAATAATAACTGACTATTTTCTATATCTTTACTTACAAATGAGAATATGGTTAGGTTAAATCCAAAGGAAATTTTTCAACATTATCTGAAAGGCTTACTGTTGGAAATATGCCTATGGCACACTTTATATGGGCCTCAGATTTAATGAACTTCGATTTAAAAGCATTGGGGCCAGTAGGCCAAATTTAGTGTTTTAGAAATGAAAAATGTTGATGTTAGGTAAACTTGGATATTAGGTAGGCAAGTTTTATATATTGCACATTTGAGGTGAAAGTATAATTCTGAATGTTAAATAACTTTTTGCAATGGTACTACTGGAAGGTTAGTAACAGGAAAACCTTCTGTTGAGTAAATTTAGCTGAAGGAGCTAAGGTAACATTTCTAAGAGACTTGTTTTCCTAAGAGTAATGGAAGGGATCAAGCATTAGGTCTGAGAGTTTACTCAGCAGATAAAGAACTTGATAAAATGCAGATAGAACATTGATCATTAGCTTTTTAGAAAACATCAAATTTCTTTCTACTGATATTTGTCGGGATAGTAAAGGTTTCTAAAGGACGAGAATAAGCACTAATGAATTATTTTATCCTTCCTTTTCGTAGTCAGCATCGTTTGCTCCTGATTGATACGCCTTTACACAACACCTTGATGGAATTGTGGACCATGGTGCACTTTCTGATTCCTGGAATATCAAGACCATATTTGGATTTTCCAGTGAAAGCTGCTAGTGAAGAGAACCAAGATTATTGTCACAAACTTGTCATAAGGTTGCACAGAGTATGTCAGGTTTTTTTACCCTCCCAGTCTCAGTAATTATTGTAGTGGACTATAAACTACTAAAAAAAGTCTACATGCCCCATATTCTGCCACTGAAGGCGTATGTGGGTTTCCAGAGATTCTCCAATGGGACTTACCCAAGGGTACCTCCACTGCTTAGTTTTAAGGATGAGTGGTAGAGAAAATAAAGAAGGAATTAAACTCCCCCTCTTTTTTTTTTATCATTTCTGTCTATTTCTTGCTAATGTGTGGCTATTATTCTTATTCTTATTCTAAGGTTTGCAAAATTTGGACTACCTTGGTACACTAGATAGTGAAAACAGTACATGACCTGAAGACACTTTTCTAGAAGGAAAAAACCCCAGACAATTTGTGTGTGAAAAACAGATCTGTAGTTAGATGAGACTCTCTCTCTACCTTATTCTCTTCAGGTTGAGTCAGTGGAGGAGGTGAGATCTGAAGTGGACTTGATAGAGAAGAAAAGGAGGTAGCTCAGTGAATATAAAGGAAAATCGTTCTTCTGGGCTTAGGGAGCAGCATTAGAGAAAGCTCAGCTCAAAGGAGTCAAGAGTGGGTGTGTTTGTCTGGAGCTGCATAAATGACTAGAGGAATGAAGAAGGAACTGAGAAGTTCCCCAGCACCAAGTCCCTGGATGAAGGGGTTCAAGCTCAGAGTGAGGCACCAAGGAGGCCTCGGTGACGATAGTGTTGTATTCAGTGCTGCAGGTGGTATATTCAGAGTCACAAGTATGGGATGGTTTTACCTAAATATTCAGGCTTGTGCTGTGACTTCTGTAGGCAGATCAGCAGTGTGGTCTGTTTGCATGAATCTAGTTTTCTTTCACACATTATGATAGATAGTACAGGTGTAATAATATTACTAAGAATTTCTGTAATAAAATGTGTGTATTTTCCTAGATGATACAGCCATTCATTTTACGAAGATCAAAAAGAGATGTCGAAAAGCAGCTCAGTAAGAAATATGAGCACGTGTTAAAGTGCCGCCTTTCTAATCGCCAGAAGGCCTTGTATGATGACGTGATCCTCCAGCCAGGGTGAGACCCTGCAGGGCTCCCTCACTCCCTTCCTGGTCTTTCCTTCCCCATCCCCCTCAGAGGCCTGGCCCAGAGGCAGTCCCCCTTCCATCATGGATGATGGATGCTCGGGTGGGTGGACAGAGGGCTATAGTTCTGCTGATCATGTGGAGGGAGTCCACACTGATGTGTGTGCGGTCCTGCCTGGGCTGCCCACTATGCCCACCCAGCCAGTGGGGAGCCCACATTCTAAACGGTGGCATTGAGACAGGCCAAGACAAGGGTACGACGGGGGAGGTAGAAATGGGGTCTAGAGCAAGGGCCATTTGAAATGAGTTCTGCACATCCCCTCTGATCAGCTAGTGGGACAAAGGCTGAAGGCTTCTTCTCTTTCTGTGTTCACAGAACCCAGGAAGCTCTCAAGAGCGGACAGTTTGTCAGCGTCCTGCACGTCCTGATGAAGCTGCAGAGGATCTGTAACCACCCCGACCTCATTGACCCCAGGCTCTCAGGTGCCTCGTATGTGCTGGAGGCCCTCGAGTTCAGGACCGCCGCTGCCATTGTGCAGGCCCTGGAGCGTGGGCTCTGGAAGGTGAGCGGGGGCTTTGCCCATGACCCACACTGGGCCCCTGATGAGGGACAGTCTCCACAAGCTGCTCTGGGGCAAAGATGTCCTCCTGCTTGGGTTACAGGTCACCAGGTTTAAGCTGTAGTTCAGAGCAACTGTCTGTATTTTTGGTGGATTTTCAGACTGTCTTTTCTGTTGATTCCTTTGACTAAATTGTTGGCTGATGAATTCTGATCCTTGATGACGTCAGTGTGTCAGCTGAACGTTAGTCTGTCATCCGACTGATCGGAAACATAGCTGGTATGTAAGGAACACCCTGAGGTTGTCAGCCTGATTTCATACAATCCCATTGGATCCTCACAACCTTGTGAGGTGGGTACAAGAGCTACTGTACCCATTTTATAGATGTGAAAACTGAGGGTCTAGGAATTGAAACAGCTTACCCTCCATGATCATATAGCTGGTAAGAAGCAGAGGTAGATTCAAAGCCAAGGCTCTCATGACTCCATTGCCAGGGCTTTTATGCCATACTACTCAGTCGTATTTAACTCTGCTAGAATTGATCAGATAGAAATGTTCTTGGCCTGCATCAGCTCCCTGAAAGATGTCTGTCACACTCTTGGGGTGGTTCGATGTCCTGTTCCCTCCAGAAGAAGAGGCCCCCGCCATGACCGCCCTTCTGAGGGCCACACTTTAAGTCACCAGCTGCCTTGTAGGCTTTGTATGATATTTGAACTAAACTTCGTTGTTGAACGTCTTGGAGACAAGGTCTTTGCTTTTGTTTTCACCTAGGACACTGACATGTCTATATTTGATCTGATTGGGGTAGAAAATAAAATGACACATTATGAAGCCCAGGTGCTGCCCAAACAAAAGATAAGCAGGAAGCTGATGGAGGAAATCTACACATCGCCTGTGCCCCAGTCAAGGCCCCGGCCTGTCAAGATCAAGCCCAACAGGTAGGGGAAAGCTCCCTGCAGTCGATGAACCATTGGCCTCTTGGGTTTTAAATGTGAGAAAAGAGGGTGCAGACTTCAGGGACACGGCTAGTTTTAGGTTATGGAGTGATAGGAAGAGTCCGGAGGACCTAAATTCAAGTCTCACTTCTGACACATACTTATGGTGTGACTCTGGAGAAGTCTCACTTGACTTCTCAGTCAAGTGCTGATATGCCTTGGTGAGGGAGCTTTCTTCTCTGGGAATTCCCTATGCTAATGAAATCGTGGATTCTGGCCACATGTTCATATTCTTCCTGCTTTGTTGTGTTGGGTCTGGGTCCTTCATTGGTTGGCTCTTAGACATGAATGAGGACAGAGTAGGGTTAGGGTTTTCTTGGATAGGAAAGCCATATCAAGGCTGTTGCAGGGGGCTTTGGCCATATCAGTTTGGGGTACATACATTTTCCAAGCATAGATTTCTCTAATAGGGTCGTTGTCTGTAGCACATCATGGGGCAGGTGTATTTACTCAGATGACACTGAATGTTTCCCAAACACTTCTTGACACCTGTCCCCATGCGTCCTCACTAGTCTAGACTCTGCAGGGACTTCGACTTGCACCGTGGATTGGGTAGAAAGAAGGACCCTGGGCTTTGGGACCTCTTCCAAGACTGTCGCAAACTCTTTGTCTGCCTTTTGGTTTCTGATCTGCCCATCCATCCCTTCCACTTGTAACAGTCATATCTACTCTGATAAGCACGTCCTTGTTTCCACACCGTCCCAAAGTGGTGTTTAATGTATCTGTGAAGGCACTGCTAGAGCATTGTTGCAGCTGCGTTTAAGGCTGCTTTTCTGTTCCCTTTGAAAATATACTGAGAAGTTGTTGCTATGCTCTGAGTGGAAATCATATGCACAAGATATACGAAATAGGGTACTTCTCTCATATTCCATAGATTGTAGTGGGTTTGACCTGGATGGGATGGATATGTAACATGCTCCTTTATATCTTTAATGTGACTGAGAATCATACTTTAAAAGGTCACTGAGTATCTGTTCTCATCTACAGCTGGAATAGTTTTATTGCTCTCTACTTGTCTGCTGTTTGCTAATTCTGGTTTTCAGGTTGTTCCAACCTGTGCAGTATGGACAGAAGCCAGAGGGCAAGACTGTTGTTTTCCCGAGCCCTCAAATACAGCGCACTCTCATCACAGCTACAGGAGCCCAGTCAGGGCAAGGACGAGGAAGATCCCCCATTGTAGATCAAGGTAAGGAAAGCCAGTGTTCTTTTGGAGGGTATTGAAATATGCCAGTATTATGACAGTGATAGGTCTTGAACTATCCTGCCTGGCCCATATGGCACATGACCCACTAGTATTCTGCTAGCATATTGGCAGATGAGACTTTAGGAGGTCTAAGTAGCATGATATAGACTGGGCAATGGATGATTTTTATTTCAGCCCTAATGGTGACTCCTCAGGCTTGCACTTCTGAGTTCCCTGTGCTCTCGTTTATATAACTGATCTTTAGAAGGCAGTTAGATTGTGCTTTTGTGAAAAGGAGTTGGTCCCAAGATGGATATTCTATAAGAATGTATCTCGTTATCATCTTGAAAGGTTTCTTTTTAAATTCGAGTTGTTTCAAGTAATAGTTGAAACCTCTAACAGCTTTGCACAAACAAACCTTATTGATTACAGCGGCCGCAGCACAGTTTCAGACATCTCAGGCTCCTACCGGTGCTCCAAGACACCAGCCAGCAGCGACCTTCACCACAGCAACTAGCACAGCCAATCCTGTGAGACAGCGGGGTCAGAACTCAGCCCAGGCCTCCCAGCTAGGCCAGACCCAGCCCCAGCCCCAGGCCCCCTCGCACACCGTCCAACAGAGTGTGCTTCCTCAGAGGCTGGTACTGACCTCTCAGGCCCAGGCACGGTTGCCTAGTAAGTGGCCTCCCCTTTCCAGGTTTCTTTCATTGACTTCTTACAATAACATCCTAAGGTGTGGTCAGTCATTCGTTTCCAACTCTATGAATCAGCCCTGCTCACTTCATTGCTTTTGTCAAGAAAAATCGCAGTTTAGACAAGAAATGGTAGGATTTCAGGCAAAATATGTTAGTGGTGGCAACTCAGTTTCCTACTTCTGCATTTTCCTCTGCTGGGAGGATTTCCTTCAGATCAAATACTTTAGCTTTTTTCTCATTCTTTTGTGCTAAATACTGATTTGTGTGGGATGGTCTTTTTATCCAAGCATTCATTCCAAGAAAAAAAGAAAGGGAGAGGCCCTGCAGGAAGGTTGGGAGGTCCTGCTTCCTGGTATGGGCATTGATCCCCCAGCCACATGAATGCTGGAATTATGTCATTGATGGGGGTACCAGCACAGCTGTCTGTGCCATCTGCAGTGGGTATAACAGATTGGATACTTAGGGTTTTAAACTTTCTTGTAGCTCGCTTTCATCAAATCTGTCCCTCACCTGCTCAAGACACTCCTGTCTCATTTGTACTGTCATGACATCACAGCCAATTTGCTTTGGTGGCAAATTTTGAAATTTAGCTGCTTATTATGATTTTGATTTTTCTGTTGACCTTTCCTGGTGAAATGGCATGTAATTCATTTTAGTATCTGTTTTATCACAAAGTGTTACATGAGTGTTCAAGTTGATTTAATAATATATGTCACAAGAGATGATAGAAGCTTTCATGGAAGTTTACTGACAAAGTGATTCCTACTGAACATCCATTTGACCATTTAGATGTCTTCAATGTAAGCATGCAGGGGTGGGGCTCCTGCTCTGTTTGCTGGTCCACTGGAGAGTTATTCAAGCCAGGGATGGGGCTTACTCTGTTTTCTTGTTTTTCAGGTGGGGAGGTGATGAAAGGTGCTCAGCAGGCTTCTCTCACAGCAACTCAGAACAGGATAGCTCAGCCGGAGACCCCCGTGACCCTGCAGTTTCAGGGGAATAAGTTCACCCTGTCACATAGTCAGCTCTGCCAGCTCACTGCTGGCCAGCCTCTGCAGCTTCAAGGTGCTGTCACCTTTGAGTGGCTGACTTACCCATGGCTAATGGGGAGAGTCGTCTGTTGGAGAGAGGACTGCGGTTGTCCTAATGAGCCCCTCCAGGGCTGTTATTCACAAGATATTACCCATGATTTGTTTGGGGGCATTCTTCTTAGATTTTGTTACCTCTTAGAAAGCAGAGAAGGCAAACATTCCTTTTTGGGTAGTGTTTTAACTGAAAGATAATTGCCCTTCATTGATTATTATGAAGGACGCTAGCTAAAGCTTCCCAAAAAGCATGTGGTTAGGGGGCTGGGCAGTGAGCATTGGATATATTCTGATGTACAATGAGAAATACTCAGGTGGGGTAGCAGTGCTGGGGTCCGAGAAAAGGTTCTCTAAGGAACGTGCAGCCATAAACCATTTGCAGAGGAAGGTGCCTTAGAGATGATCTAGGCTAGCACCATCGTGTTATAAACCAAGAGTCTTAGGGATGTGAATAACTCGCTAGAACTGCTTCTAGTCAGTGGTGGAGTCTGCTCCTGACCTCCTGTCTCCAGACTGCAGGTCCAGTGATCTTCCCCCAGCATCTGCTCCCCTGCTCCCCATGGCCTGATGAATGGCCCTGCCTATGGCTGTGTCTCCCTTGTCTAGAGACTGGAGAGGTTTTGTGGGTATCTGTTGTCTTGTATAAAAACAGGTAATAGTTAAGTGGGACTGGCACATTGTATTTCTTCTGTCTGTCTCTATGGTACCTACTTTAGCAATAGTATTAATAGCTAGCGTTTATATAGTGCATTAGGATTCGTAAAGCACTTTACATGTGTTTACACACGGGCTCTTAATAATGCTGACAGATTGAGAATCTCACCTGGCCCCCTAGTGCCACCTCCATCAGAGCTCTGCCACTCAGCCCTTTGGATTGGTTCACTTTCCCCCATGCTTTTCCTCTACTTTCCTTTTGTTTTGTGCCACACTGCACCAAGAGGAACAAGGCTGCTTCAAAGCCTCGTATGTTGGGTATTTCTTCCCGGTGCTCGATTGCCATTAGAGTGGGATGTAATCTTTGGTGACAGAGGCATGATGAACTGGATTTGAAAAGTAGGCTTTAGGGAACAGTATCTTTTCTAAAATATAAATAATTTAGCATAAACCTTTTCCCTAATTCTGAATTTTTTTAATACTATCAAATAATTGGTAACTTATGTGAAATTGTTGAAGTAAACAAAGCTATATAGAAACAAAATTTGGCACGTATATGTTGAGAGGAAAATAACAGAACAGAATGAAACTAATTGGGTTAAATAACAAGATATGTCTTCCTTCCATTTTCCTACCATTTTGTAATTGTATTTGGTAGATGACTGATAAAATGAATAGATATAAAAAACTTGATGGTTGTATGATGACTGATGTCATGCCTATGCTGATTTTAGGTCAGACGTTCTCCAAAAGTCAGTATTCTTTACCTGTGAATGTAATTTGGCTAGATTATTACACTTTGATATATTTTTTTTTATCATGACTCTCAATTAAATTGCTTTCTTGTAGGAAATGTTCTTCAGATTGTTTCTGCTCCAGGACAACAATATTTGCGTCCCCAAGCATCTCTTGTTATGCAGCCCGTGTCTCAGGCTGGGACAGGACAGAATGCTCTCAGCACACTAGGAAATCATCATCAGGGAAAGATGCTGGGCTCTGCAGCAGCCTCTCCCCAAGGTGGGCCACTTTCTTACCGGGCATGGCCTACTTTAGTCTAAGCTTTAGTTCCACATTCTCAGGTGAAATGAATCCTTTTATCGGGTGAACATTATGTGCAATAAAACTTTCCCACATTTCAACCCATAATGTTATTCTAGGCTCCAGAATGACACCGGTAGCTTATTAATAGTCATAACATCCTTGTGAGAACATTGGAGATCAGATTCTGTCTCATGAAGCCTGAGAAGGAATGGGATACTCATCTGTTAGTTCATTCAACAAACATTACTAAGCATTACTCAGCACTAAGATTTGCTGTGTGCAAGTCAATAAATCAGATCCTCCATAGAATACAAGAAAGAATAAAACATGGGTCTTACCCTTAAGGTGCTTATAATAATCCCATGAGATTCTGTGAAATTACACGCAAGCCGGTGGTGTGACATCAGCAGTTGATCCCTGGTCTACTGATTGCCATTTCCTCATCGACCATGTCATCTTGGTGAAATTGCAGCATTGTACTTATACATAGAGTTACATGTAAGGCCTTACACAGGTTCTTAAAAAACAGCTTCGCAAGTAGAAGGGGAGATAGAAGAGATCCAGGACAAGCTTAATCATAAGTCATCAGTGAGACACGGCAGTCAGAAAAGCCAGTGCAATCCTTGGGTGCGTCCAGAGAGGATGGGGAAGTGATAATTCCACAGATATGAAGAACCTTGACCCTAGTTCAGATAATCCTGCAGAAGCTGATAAACTGGTGTGCCCCGAGGAAGGTGACCAAAATCCTCAGCGTGGTGTTCAACACCCTTCATGACTCTCCCCCTCCTACCTTTCTGGTCTTCTTCAACCTTACTCCCCAGCCCTTTCTTGCTGATCCGGTGGAACTGGCCTCCTAACTGTTACATGAACAGCCTGCTCCGTCTCTTGGCTCTGGGCACTTTCTCCAGCTGGTCCCCGTGCTCGCTATGCTCTCCCTCTTCATCTGTGCCTTCTGGCTTCCCTGGCTTCTTGAACTTCCACTAAAATCCCATCTTTTACAGGAAGCCTTTCCTCTCGTAACTATTTCCTGTTTGTCCTGTGTATAGTTTTTTTTTGTCTCCCCAATTAGACTGTGAGTTCCTTGAGGGCAGGGATTGTATTTTGCTTTGTTTTGTGCCCCTAGAGCTTAGCGCCGTGTCTTAATAAATGGGTCTTGATTGATTGACCAGTGTGTTGAGAGGTCTGGAGGCCATGCCGTGGAAAGATCAGTTGAAAGAACAGCAGGTGTTTAAGCATGGGGCAGAGAAGACTTGAGGAGGACATGATAGGAGTCTTTAAATATTTGAGAGGTGCTCAGATTTCTCCCGCAGAGTTCTTCTGCAAAAGTTGTAGAGAGATGGATTTAGGAAAAACTTGACAAGTAATACTATTCCTAAATGGAGTCCCCGTCTTGGAGGAATTCAAGCAAAGGCTTGCTGTTGTTAAGTCATTTTTCTGTCATGTCTGACTCCCCACGACCCCATCTGGGGTTTTCTTGGCAGAGATATTGGAGTGGTTTGCCATTTCCTTCTCCAGCTCGTTTTATGGATCAGGAAACTGAGGCAGACAGGGTTAAGTGACTTACCCAGGGTCACACAGCTAGTAAGCACCTGAGGCCGGATTTGACTTCATGAATATGTGTCTTCCTGGCTCCAGAGCTATATGCACAATGGTACCACGTAGCTGCCCCATGAGCAGGCTGGATGGCTGTTTGTCATGGCTGTCGTAGAGGTCTTTCCTCGTTCAGCTGTGGGGATGGACTGTTTGGTGTCTGAGGTCACTTTTAACTTTGAGATTCTGTGATTCTGTGAATCTTGACATTATTAGGTGAGGATTTTGTGCAGTGTAACTTTTTAAGTTTATTTTGTTCTATAAAAGTCTTCTCTGATCTTAAATAGCATTATCTTAAATGATTCCATCAACTCATTAACAAGTCACGACATCCTTGTGAGAGTATTAGTGGGGCAGAGAGCATCTACTGATGCGCAGAGAGCTCAGTTCCCTTCATTCATTCAACAAATATTCCTACACACTGCTGTGGTCCCCATTCTGGGAACGTAAAGTAAAATAAAACATGATCTGTGTCCACAAAGAACTTAGAATGATGTGATCACAGCTTGGGGACATGTCAGTGACTCCCATCTACTCCAGGGGTCTCCAGATTCCTACTTAGTGGTCATGTGACGTTAGTGAAATTAGAGCATTCTAATCATGTTTGGGAGGGGAAATGAAAAACAAAAAAGCTCCTCTTTATTTCTCAGTTGGTGTGTCCACCAGAACTACAGTTGTTAACCTGCCTTCTGGGGAGCAAAGAATCATATCCAAATCAACAGGAACTCAAACACAGGTAATTATTTACTTGGTACTAAATTGAAGTTTACAAATATGTGATTTTTTTTTAGGACTTTTTAAAAAAAAATTGGTTCTGTGGTTTCCTTGGTGTAAGGAGTTTCCGGTGGGGAACTCCTACCAGTGCAGTCAGCCACATCTCTGTAATTTACAGTTTTAAAGAGTTGCCTAGGTATCTGAGGTTAGGTGAATTGCCCAAGGTCACACTACCAGTATGTGGCAAATGTGAAACTTTAACCTAGTCTCTTTTGCTTTGAGTCCAGTTCTTAAATAAAAGAATTGGATGATAAAACGGTTTTTATCTGTTCACAAATTTTGCTGAAAATTCCAGTATTTGCTAAAATTTTAAATTTTACACTGAATAATTATTTTTGGCATGAAGTGACAAGTTTTAAAATGTAGTTTTAATATATCAGGCAACTTACCCCACTTGCCACTGTTGACCATTAGCAATTTTATTTATTGTATTTAAAAAACACTCTCTATCTTCTCTCTGTCTTTGGGGTGGATGAAGATATCATTGGCAGAAAAAAGCAGACTTTTAAAAGAGCGTCTCGATAGGATATTTTCTGGCAATGAACGGCGTTGTTCCAGAGCTCCTGTTTATGGCAAAGATGTATTGGGAATTTGCTCATTATTTGGGGAAAGGAAAGCATCTCAGCCTTATTACCCTGGAGACAAATGGAAGTGGGCCGGCTTGATGAATTGTTGTCCTTCCTCGTGTACACCAGAAAGTTCAGCAGACCCACTACAGTATCTGAGATTGACATCGCATCAACAGAATGAATCTCTACAGGATGCCGTTAAAAGGTTATGATTTCCAGATCTTCTTCCTGTCATGTGAATGATCTGAAAGAATCAGTAATATTTTCCAGTGTTTGAAAACTAGTTTTGTTTTTGTGGTCTAGACAGAAAATGAGTTTCTAAAAATAAGCATTATACTCTTCTCATTTTTGTTGATAAAGTAAAAAAAAAATAACCCAAAACATTTCTGTACTTACTTGCCTTTTGGATGGTCCTAAATAGCTTTTACATTTTACTTATGTAGTTCTGGAGAGTTTTGGAATTTTTGTGATCGAGTTTTTAAAGTTATTTGTGAAATTGAAACACACTTAAGTGCTTATTATTGTAGCCAGATTCTGTACACTGAAATTTAGCATATTTTGAGATTGTCCATCCAGGCTGAATGAGGAATGTTTCTCTTGATTATACAATTCAGAGTTCAAAAAACTATTTGAAATTTAAGCTTTCCTACATGCTAGTGTTTCATGGTTTTCTAGGCAGTTGCCAGGCCAAGTAAACTCCAAAAAAACCTTTAGATTAGAAGAATTTATGTTGATTTTGAGTTAATGATCACCTCATGTTGAAGGGCTGCATTTGAGAGGCCATTTCTGGCATATACCCTTGACATTTTCCATTTTCATTCTGATAATTTGTATTTATTTAATGATTGTCCAAATTGTAAGAATTCATCCTTAAGCTGCTGATCATAATGTGGTTGAAAGCTCATTGAGTGGACTTGCTATTGGCCCCATTGTAACTCTAGGTGTTGTTGGGAAGCCCAAGGGCCTGTGCTATCTTCCCTGCCCTCTGTGCTCACTCTCTGAATGGAGCAACACTCGTCTTCCAGTGGAAGTTGAAATGAGCCCCAAATTCAAGTTTTAGGGTTCTGTTATGCTTGGGAGAATTCTAGAATATTTCATAAAATTGAACCGTGTGACCAGATCATCCCCAGGGAAGTCCTGATCTCTCAGCTGAAATTGCAGGGTCCTAGCACAGGTGGTTTGTGGAACACCAGCTCCCCCAGGCCTTCCCTTCATGATCCCAAGTAATGACTTGCCCACTGATGGGGGAACAGACTGATTCTGGTTTACAGAATGCCACGGGCAGTAGTGGCTGGCCTTGGAGGACTTAATTGGGTTCTTTTAAGCTGTGCCTACCCGATGGAGGGAAGAAGGAAGGGGAAGAACCGCTAGGCCTTGCATCCGGCACGGGGGGAGTGTGAGCAGGGCTAAGGACGTGCTCCTCTGCCTTCTCCAGTCAGGCTGCAGAGGCCCTGGGGTCTACTGTGGGACATGGTAAAGGGACCACCCTCTTCCCTCAGGGAGTTAGTGAATCCTGCAGGTGACATTTGAGAAAAGCAGGGCCCAGAAAGGAGAAGGTGTCTGTCTAAGGTCACAGAGAAAGTGAAATGGCAGCAGCAGAGCCGACGTTGCCACTGTAGGGCCCTGCCTCTGAGTCTTGTGCTTTAGCTATGACCTTAACTCTTAATACCTGTGTAACTTTTGGGAAGTTGTCTGACCTTTCTCAGATTTTGTTTTAAAAGGAATAACATCACTCCTTAAGACTTACTTAGTGAGTAAGCCCTGGGGAGACACATGGAGGTTGACTGACTTGCCTGGGCAGGGCCCAGAGCTAGTAAGTGTTGGAAGGAAGATTTGAACCTCAGTCTTTCTCATTCCGTGCCCAGCACCCCACACGTGATGTTGCCTCTCTTAGTGTGAGGATGTCATGAACTAAAATATTTTTGAACATTATGACATGCAATGAAACACAACTGTAGCCTCAAGATTGCTCATTTGAAAGGTGGGGGTGGGGGGGAAGACCATGGCCTTTGTGGTCCTGGGCCTGGCCTCTGCCAGACTTGTGGGTATGTGGACTGCCAGAGACATCTCCCTTCTATCAAGGATCACCTGAGGGCCCCTGCAGTACTAATGTGCTCTGGGATTTGACATTTCCCACAGGGTGCTCCGTGTGCTACCAGCTGTGATTGCTGCGCCCCCTCACCTCTGCACGTCAAATCCTTCTCCATCCTACAGCCAAAAAATGAACCTCTTCAGACACAATCTTAAGCTGCAGCTAGCTCCTTATTTGCACCAACTGCAGCAGATAGCAGCTCCACATTCATTAGAGTTCCCTGACCTCCGACTGGGTGCAGTGTGATTCAGGTATGAGAGAAGTCAACGACCCCAGGTGGTATTGGCTTTAGGGCTAACTGCTTGCTAACTCATTTTTGTCTCTCTTGTTTCACTTAAAATAGGCAAGTTAGAAGCTTTGGCAGTCTTGCTGCAGAGATTGAAATCAGAAGGCCGCCGGGTGCTAATTTTGTCCCAGATGATTTTAATGTTAGATATCTTGGAGTTATTTTTGAACTTCCATTTCCTCACATTCATCAGGATTGATGAATATGCCAGCTATGAGCAGCGTCAGGTGAGGTGTAGTGCACAGGCATGAGCCTACATGAATGTTCAGTTGAAAACCCATACATAAATAATAATAATAATAATAACAATAATGCTTCTATAATGCTTTAAGGTTTGCGAAGAGTTTTACCAAGTGTGCCAACTCAGATACGTAACCTGTGTAAATAAGGGCCCTTGGAACTTAATGAATGTTGTGTAGGAAAATAAAAATCTGAAATTGGAAATGTTCACGTGATATAACTTTCACCGAAGTCCTATTATGGAACCTTATTGTTGTATGAAGGGGATCCTGCGTTCTCCAGCACTACACCCAGGAGAACACAAGCTCTGGCAGCTTCTACCAGGCTCATGAGGCTTCCAGTCCATTCCTCCTTAACAGAATGGAGGTCACTGGTAGCTAAGTTCAGAAATGCAGAGAACTAGGTTGGCCCTCAGGTGAGACTCAACTTGACTAATTATAGAGGTGTTGCAGTCTGTTTTGGTGGAGGGAACATCTACACCAGTGAAACTACCAGTCTCTGAAGTATTGTATATATTATGCTATACTGCTGAGTGCCCAGCAGCATTACTTGACTACTGATAATAGCTGGGAAAAATTGGGCAGATAATTGCCAGAAAGGAGGAGAGATATAGGCTTGGAGAAGAGCAAAGGCAAGAAATTTTGAAGAGAGCAAACCAAAGGACATCAGAACATTTTCCCTTCTGAAGTCTCAATGTATGTATGTCCCATGTTGGAAAAATTGGGCCCCCAACTCATTCCTTGTTTGCTCCCACCTCTCACCATTTGTTCTTGGCCACTAACCTCTTTTGACATGCTGCCTTGATGTGAGGATTAGAAGAAGAAGGCTGTTAAGGAGCCAGGTGGAAGGTCTGACTTGGAGGGTTAGGTATTTAATACCCTAAATCTTGGACAGGAAATCAGTATACAACCCTACGTGTCTTAAGAATTATTTTACATTTGAAAAGTTTGAGAGGGTCTTCTTATCTACATTTTTAGACCATATTTAAGCCAACTTTTTTTATTATTAATAGAATCAATACTAATGAACTTTTTCATTATTTAGGAACTGATGAAGAGTTTCAACAGAGACAAGCGGATATTTTGTGCCATTCTTTCTACCCACAGTCGCTCTACAGGTGTAAATCTTGTAGAAGCTGACACAGTTGTGTTTTATGACAATGACTTAAATCCAGTGATGGACGCAAAGGCTCAAGAATGGTGTGATCGAATTGGGAGATGCAAGGATATCCACATATACAGGTTGCATAGAACTGCTTTTCCATATTTTCTTTTTCAGTTTAAAATTAGGAGTTGATAATACACATAAAAAAGTAATAAGTGACAACTTACTGTACTAAAGTTTATCTGTGATATCATTGATATGGTTATTCCCTTCAGCAATGCAGATGGAACCTCACCATGCCTGCCCATCTTGTGTGACTCTTGTCTCTGTCTTCCCTTTCATTCACCATAGAGGGTGGGCTTCTATCTAATGTGCTGGTGGCCTTCCTCACTTCTTCTTGACATCGTTTGAGTCGAGCATATGGGCTGTCAGTTTTCCCTTGCTCTCACCACATGGTCAGCCCATCTTTTTTGAGCATTGATTTCTTTGATGACATCTTTTATTCCTTTGTAATTTCTATTTATGTGTGTTGTAGCCTGTTCATAGCCACCCCATGCTGTTCTATTGGCCTTGAGTGATAATGATTTTTAATTCTTTGTGGTCTGTAGGGTTTCTGACTTGCAGTAATACAGTACACCAGAATACATGGTTCTTGGTTTCGTGTGGAAATTTGGGGTCAGTGAAAGAACTTCCTTCCTTCCTTCCTTCCTTCCTTCCTTCCTTCCTTCCTTCCTTCCTTCCTTCCTTCCTTCCTTCCTTCCTTCCTTCCTTCCATTCATTAAGTGACGTGCCCAGGGTAACACAGCTAGTAAGTGTTAGGGGTCTGAGGCCAGATTTCAACTCAGGTCCTCAACTCCAAGGCCAGAGCTCTATCTACTGTGCCACCTAGCTGCCCCCCTGAACTTTGTGATTTCTAAAGGTAATCCAGCTTACTTAAACTTTGTAAATAGACAATGAATTGGGCCCAGAATTAAACAAAGGTAGAAAAACATTAATCTGTGAGTAAAGGAAGGAAACAGTAGTACTGATTGTCCAGTAAAAAAAGACATTTAAGAATGAAATTGAAAGTACCTCAGAGCTATACCCTTGGTCTTTTCTTCTCCCTTTATATTTTCTTGGTGACCTTATTGGTTCTCATGGCTTCACCCATCACCTCTATGCGCATGACTCCCAGATCTTCATATCCAGTCCCACATCTCTTTCCTGCTAGGTGTCTCTACCTTTCTATCTTCATAGGCATATCAAATTCAGCATTCCCAGAGCAGAACTCATCATCATTCCCCTGAATCTACCCCTCCTTCTGATCAAGGCACTGCTATCCTTGCAGTCACCCAAGTTTGTGGCCTGTCACTCATCTTCGTCTTTATCTTTTTCTCTGCCGTGCATATTCAGTGCACCAAATCTTGTTGGTTCTACTTCTGCACAACCTCTTATATCTGTACTCTTCTTTCCGCCCATACTACAATCTCTAATTCAGTCTTTTATTGCCACTCACCTGAACTACTGCAGTAACTTTCTGTTGGTTTCCCTGTATTTAGCTTTGCCTTTCTCCAATCTGCCCCACAAAGCTTCCAGTTTTCTGTTTCTAAATCATAGATCTAGCCATTGGTGCTTCCCTTTACCTCTTGGAATTTAAAGACCCTCTGATCTATCTTCAACTAATCTTTCCAGATTGACCACCTACTACTCGACTTCCTCCCTGCCCTAGAGTGCATTCTAGCCAGACTTGCTCACTGGAAAGTTATACTACAGTCTCTTTCCTGGTTCTGTGCCTTTTCATTTACCTCTGCCTCTTGGACTCCCAAACTCCCTTCAAACCTCATTTTTGTGCCACCTGCTATTAGAGGACCTTCCTGATTTCCCTAGTAATTAATAACTCTCTTTTTCTGTCCTCTGAAATTACTTTCTGTTTTGTATACATTTTGTAGGAACTTATTATTGTATATGTTGTTTCTACCATTAGATTGTAAATTCCTTGAGGTCAGGGAGTGTTTCATTTCTGTCTTTGTGTCCCAAGTACCTAGCTCAGTACTTGGACCATAATAATTGCTAAATGAATGATTGATGAATTGATTTAAATTTCAAGAATGACAGCAAACAAATGAAGAAGAAAAAGGTCTGCAAAAAAAATTTTTTTTTAACACCAAACACTTTTCACCATAAAGGAAGGTGGAGCCAGTATATTTGATCTTGGATGTACTTATGGGGAAGTTGAAATAACCTGATGAAAACAAAAATGAGAAAAGCAACTAGACTGCAATAAATATACATATACACAGAGGAAGTATGTGTTGGAGCTTTCATAGTTTCTAGGAATTGAAGGAGCAGTTCTCAGGGTATCTGAAAGAGGGAAAGATACTGAAGGTATGGAAAAAGAATATCACACTTTATTGACAGAAAAAAAATGGTGACTGAGGGAACCTCAACAATCAACCCACATATCTGCTTTCCCATTCATATAAAATTTTTTGAGACTATATATACATTGAGGGTATACTTTGTGATGATTTAAGAAGAGAAGAGTCAGGCTTTCTCAAGTGCCATGCCACAGTATACCGTGTCTTTACCATCATATAATTGACTGGAAAGTGTAGTAAACATCAGGTTTCACTATGTTTATTGGTTGTTGACCATAAAAAGTATTTAACTGAGTAGAGGAAAATGACATTTTAAAGACTCTTCCAACCTATGCATACATCAACATTATTCAGTGTTCTTTGAAACGTTTGACAAAAGATTCATTTTTCTACAAGCCTCTTTTATTATATCCAATAAGTAATAAACAAGGAGATGTTTATTTGCTGAAGGTATTCATTACTGTCATGGAGGAGATCCAGCACAAAATCAGAGTGAAAGAGGGATAGGCGATGAGGTCTTGTAGACCTTTCTTTTTTGAGATAACATTGTGTTGATTTCATTTGGCCCCATCTGAGTAAACACTCAAAAAAGTTTGGCCTAATTGCCCACACTGGAAAAGTCGTGGGGAAGAAGGCATGTTGTCCAGACAGTGATGTGCAGTATGGTAGGAAGCAGAAAAAGCTCATCTATCAGTACACACACACACACACACACACACACACACACACATTGTGCAGGCACCGTCAGTGCCCAGTGAGTGACGTCTAGAATTGATTAAGAGCTGGGTTGCCTTTGGGAAATTGCCAAGTTCTTTTAGTGACCCTAAGCTTTCCCCTGAAAGGAAGGCTTATTTTATAAATGACAATATTGTGCCAGTGATGCTATGTTGCTGTGAATCATGGAACACCATAGTCCCCAAAAATTCAATCAGTCACTCAAGTATTTATTAAACACTTAGTATTCTGTACTAGGCACTGTACTATGGACAAGGATGCAATTACAGTGAATGAAAAAATTCCTTTTCTCAAAGAGCTTACATTCTAATAGAGGAGATGGCAATAACATATAAATATGCACAGAATGAATAAAAAGGATAAATATAAATAAAACTAGTTAAATACAGGTTAATTAGAGAGGATAGCAGCAGTTGAAAGGATAATGAAAGGCTTCATCTAGACAGTCATGCTTGAGCATGACTCTCTTGAAGAGGGGGATTCTTTGAGGTGAAAATGAGGAGGGGAGTGTATGGTGGGAGCAGGAGACTGCCAGTGCAAATGCACAGAAACTGGAGATGAAGTTTCATGTTTGAGGAACTGAGAGAAGGTTAGTCTGGCTCCATCTCAGAGGGTGGGAAGAGGAGTCGTGTCCAGTGAAGCTGGAGAGATAGGTTGGAGCCAGTCTGTGAATGGCTTTAAAAACTAAACAGAATTTATATTTGATTCTAGAGGCAATAGGAATCTCAGGAGTTTATTGAGTAGGGAAGTGCCACAGTCAGATCTGTGCTTAAAGAAAATTACTTTGGCAGCATTGTGGAAGATGGCCTGAAGTGGGGAGAAACTTGAGGCAGGGAGGCTATGGTAAAGATCTAAGTGAAGGAGGCATCTGTGACTAGAGAGAAGGTATCAGATGCAAGAGAAGTGGTGGAGAGAGAAATGGCAAGATGTGGCAACAGATTAGCTATGTGAGGTGAGAAGTAGGGAGGAGCTGACAGGAAAAAACCAAGGTTACAAATCTGGGAAAATAGAAGAACATTGTTGTAACTATGAAGTACTTCTGTTGAATTACTTCAGCAGAATTAGAGAAGTCTGAGAGACGGGTGGTTTTTTGGGGAAAGATAATGAATTCAGTTTTGGACAGGTTGAGTTTGAGATGTCTTTAGTGCATCTAGTTTGAGTGTCTAATAGGCGAGTCATAATGTGAGATTGAAGCTTAGGGAAGAGACTGGTGTTGGATGTATAGATCTGGGAGTCATTGACAGAAAGAGAACAGTTAAATCCATGGGAATTGATGAAGTCCCTAAGAGAGTGTAGAGAGAAAAGAACAAAGGGCCTAGGACAACCACAGTTAGGGACTGTGATGTGGATGATGAATGAGCAAAGGAAACCGAGAAGCGGTTAGATGGGTAGGAGGAAAACCCAGGGAGTTTTGGTTCCCAAAAAGCCCAGAGAAGAGAGAGTATCTGGGAGGAGAGGGTGGTCAACAGTGTCAAATGCAGTAGATGGTTGAGAAAGATGAAGACTAAGAAAAGATTATCAGATTTGGCAATTGAGACATCACAGGTAATGTTGGAGAGAGCACTTTCAACCAAGTGTGGAGGTCAAGCCAGATTGAAAAGGGCTGGAGTGAGTGAAAAGAGAGAAAGTGGGGGCAATGACAATGAATTTAGATGGCTCTTTCTAGGAGTTTGGCTCAAAAAGAGTGGGGACTGTGTAGGACAAAAGTTTGATGGGATGGGATGGTCTTGGTGGAGGTTTTTTAAGGATTGAAATTGAGTATTGATATCTTTGTAATATCTGGAGAACTTGAGGAAGGCCACCCAGCATGTTGATTAGATCTCCTGTGGAACACTTACAGGGGAAAATTGGCAGTATTCATACAAGCTGGGCAGGCATTAAGGGGTTGTAATTTGCAACACTGAAGGGAGTGCACACATTGATGAGATCACAGATCCATTGGCATATGTACAAAGCTAGTATGTTTTGATTGATGTTCAGTATAACTGAACCAATGGTTCTAGGGTATGGTTGTTGAAAAATGACTGTATTTATCATTTTCAAAAGTGAAATATGTGAAATTTTGTTGTTTTCTTTTCAGTAGTGGCTTATAAATAATGGTAAAACAATCTACTCAGGTCATTGTTTTCTAATTTTAATAGATGTTGATGGGTTTTTGTGAAGGGTCACACATGATCTTTCTTTACAGAACAAATAATTTAAAGACAGAATCAGTATCTAGGTACCTAGACAATGAATTGCACGTAGTAGGCATTTAATAAATTTATGAATTGAAAATAAAGAGTTGAACAAAAAAGTTATTTTTAAGTAGAGTGGTTTGCCTGTTTATTTCTGCTTTATTTAATCTTTCAGATGGCTTATTTGAAGTATGTCTAAAATAAGGAGAATTTAATATAGATTTCTTTTATCAGTAAAAAACATTCTTAATCCTACAAGCATTTATTAGTTGCTGCTTTGTGCCAGACATTGTGCTAGATTGAGGGGATATACATATGACTCCAAGTTATGAGTTAAGAATATTATTAATTTAGTTTTGAAATATATGAATTGACATGAAAGCGCTAATGTTTAATTTTGTATCTGGTATTTTCTCTAGGCTTGTAAGTGGTAATTCTGTAGAAGAAAAGCTGTTGAAGAATGGTACCAAAGATTTAATTAGAGAAGTAGCAGCTCAAGGAAATGACTATACCATGGCATTCTTAACTCAGGTATTTAACTTTTGGTAAAACAGGAAGGGTGTGTTTCTGAAGTAATTCCTCATTAGGAATTTTAGATTGTGTCTACACTTAAATCTAGCTCTTGGTGCACTAAATTGTATGACCTACCTGAGCAGCTGGACATACTTTGGAAGGAAATGACTCACGTCAATCTCACTATGATATTCAGTGACTGAAATGCAAATGTGGGAATAAGTGTGGATAGTAAGAACTATATTAGAAAATGTTCATCAGGAATAAGGAGTGAGAGAGGTCAGAGACTTGTGGACTACAGAAAAGTTTCATGTCTATACATCATGAGATGCTACTTTCTTTGAGAAAAGAATTGAAAGGCATTGGACTTAGTATGCAACGAGTAATCTCATGAAAAAGGAAATTGGTCATATTTTAACATAAAGAAGTAATTTGTTATTGATAGAATAACTTGTTACTGGTAATACTCACATCATTTATCTGTGTCTGTTCAGACCCCAGACTTGATGTAGCAAAGACCAAAATTAGCTAGAGGAAAGAATAAAAACATGACGATATAACATGTAATGAAAACGACTCTGTCCTGACCTATTTAAATGAGTTGTTGAGGGTAGGAAATGGAATAAGAATGGAAGAAAGGACAACTACAACAACTACAATAATTTCATACAGAAATCTAACTGATGTAAATGAATTCCCATAACAAGGAGACCAAAAGAATCTAAAAATGACTTAATCAGCAAACATTTGATTTACTTGCCATGTGGAAAATTATGGAAGATAAGCACAATATCACTTTAGAATAAAAACTCATTCGTGTTTATATTCTAAAGAGAAGAGATGACATATGATGATATGTATTCTAGAGAAAGATGATAGGGGCAGCTAGGTGGTGCAGTGAATAGAGCTGTGGCCTTGGAGTTAGGAGGACCTGAGTTCAAATCCAGCCTCAGACACTAAACATTTACTAGCTGTGTGACCTTGGGCAAGTCACTTAACCCCAATCGCCTCACCCCCTCACCAAAAAAAAAAAAAGCAAAAAAAAAAAAGCGAGATGATAGAAGACTGAGCAGTATTGCCTCATGAAACAGAAAGCAGGAATGGAGGGCAAAATCAGTTGAAAGAAAGCTTGGTTATTGTGCAGAATCATCCCAAGGGCCTTGAAGTATGAAAACGGAAGGACAGCAAACAGAATTAAAATGGAAAAGATCTGCAAAGATTTCTAAAACAAATTCTTTCCATTATCAAAGACAGTGAATCCATAACACTTGGACTGTTAGCTTTTATAGACCTGCATGTGCTTATAGAGGAGATAGAAATGGTGCAGAAGAGACCAAAGAAGTGAAAAGCAGCTGGCTTAGTCATGGAGATCCTTGCTGAGGGCTATGCAATTGTGACAGTGTTGAGGGATCAGTTCTCAGGCTCTCTGAAGGAGGAGAAGACCAAAGGTGTGAAAAAATCTTGGACCTTCATAATACAGAAAAAAGGCAGCTGAAGGAACATCCACCACTACTGATCTATATTCCTGATCTCCCATCTAGATGAAATGTTTATGAGAATTGTCTACAGATGCATTGATGGCATCTTAGGTGAAGGCATTAGTAGGGAGCAAACAGATTTTAGCTAATGATATTCCACAGTAGACTACATCTTTGCCATCACACAGTTGATTGAAAGATGTAGAGAATACAAGATACTCTTGTGTTTATTGTTTGTTAATTATAAGTATTTGATCAGTAGAACAGAATACTGCCTAACAGCTCTTTTTCAACAAGGAGTTCCTCCTACACAGATCAGAATTATCTAATACTCCTTGAGAGATAAAGCAACAGGAGCAACTAGGTGGTGCAGTTTATAGAGGTCCAGCCTTGGAGTCAGGAGAACCTGAGTTCAAATCTGGCCTCAGACACTTGACCCTTACTGGCTGTATGACCCTGGGCAAGTCACTCAACCCCGATTGCCTCACCAAGAAAGAATGAAAGAAAGAAAGAAAGAAAAGAAAGAAGGAAAGAAAGAAAGAAAGAAAGAGAGAGAGAAATAGCAAGTATTACATAAGGCAAAGTATACACACACACACACACACACACAGAGTGAGTTGGGCACATGATTAAACAGGAGGAGAAGAGTAGGCCAAATTGCCTTCAGGAAATTTCAGAGTTCCTTAAATTACCCAGAATTTCTCCTCTCTTTCAATTACCAGTATTTTTCTGGTAGTGATATATGCCTGTAGTCATGGATACCAAAGTGTCTGAAGATTAAAAATTAGCATTACACTGGAGACAATGGAAGGGGCAAGGCGGGTAGAGTCAGGCTGCAGTATATAGCAAGGCACTACAACGAACCTGCGTAAAGGATGTCATCAAAGAAATATTATAGAAAAAAAGATAGGTGGTCACTGGGGAGAGGGAAGGACAACTGACAGTCAACTAGGATGCTTGCTGTGTTGGGAGAACTTGAGGAAGACTGGCCTGCAGGACATTGGGTGGTCCCCTTGTGGTGAGCTTATGGGAGGACGTGGACAAGATCACCTAATGGGGGCAGGCCAGACTGGCTTTCCATCTGCATTGCTGGAGAGAGCACTTGGGTGGTGGGAGCATTGCCATTACTCTGTGACCATGGACAGATCATTGAACCTTTCAGTGTCCCAGCCATGTCTCTGAGACCACAGCCTGCATCAGTAGAGGAAGGTCCCACTGGAGCATTTTCCTATACTGATGAAATCACAGGTCTAAGCCCTTTCCTCCCTCCCCTGGCCTCTGTAATTTCTCCCCAAAGCTCTGAAAGTAAGAGAAAACAAATATTTGTTCTGGCTTGTTATAAACTACATATGGGGTGAGAAGTTTCTTCTTAAAAGTGGACTTTTATCCTCTTGGTTATTATCCCCCTATGTTCTGTTAAAGAAGGAGAGGCAGCATACCTTGAGTAGACCAAGGAGAGAAGCTTCCCAAAGCACATGTGGTAATTTTCAGGGTGAGAACCCTGATGTAGTGAAAGAAGGTCTGACTGGAAGCCTGCAGACCTGGCCTGGAACTGTCACTCATCCTTGATAGCTGTGTGATTCTGGGTCACTTTACCCTCCTGAGCCTCATCTGTAAAAGGGGTGTATTGAACTTGAGGATCTCTCAGCCTTTTCTGCTTTCCTGAAGACCTCTAACTTCTACTTTGAAGGACAGAAGTTTCGGAGACAACATTTCCTTAATGTTAAATATTCCCTTTTAGGAGGTTTAGATGTTCTTAAATGAATGCTAATGAAATGTCAGATTCAAATCATTGCCAACAGAAGAATTATGCTGACAGTTAACCGTACCATTTTTTCTTTTCCTCCCAGCAAACTATCCAGGAACTCTTTGAGGTCCATTCTCCTATGGATGATACTGGCTTCCGAGTGAAAGCTGAGGAATTTGTTCTTCTCTCTCAGGAACCTCCTGTGGCTGAAACAATTGCCCCCAAGGTTGCGAAACCTTTTATAGAGGTAAGAAATAGTGGCAGAAATGGGAGAAATGAGTCAATGGAATAAGATAAAAATGGGAAGTTTGCTTTGGCTTTTAATTTTATACTTAATGTTCCAAAACTTAACATTATTTTGACTTAGATTTTATACCAAATTTACTTTTCCCCCCAGAAAGCAAACCTTTTAAAAAATCCCACAAAATATGTATTTTTATTCCTAATGAATTTCAGCTTTCTAGTCCCTCCTTTTCTTAGAGTTATTTTTAACTTTTCAATATTTAGGTATTTAGAAAAACTAAAATATTTTCTATCTGATAGAAGCACTAATATATTTTAGACAAGATTTAATGTAGCTATATTTTGATATGTACGTTTGGGTTTCTCTCTGATGCATATAGCCTTTTTTTTCAGTAGTCTGTCTATAATAAACCTTCAATGTAGTATTAATTGAATATCAAAAATCAGAATGTGAGAAATAAATGAATTGTTGGAAATTCTATTTTTTAATATATGATTCTAGAAGTTACCCCACTGTTGTTGGTTCAACAGGCGATAAAAACTATATAGTAATCTTTTTAGAGAGGCAACTGATCTGGTCATTTATTGAAATCAGAGCCTTCCATTTTCTCTAGTCAAATGATGGTTGAGTCTGAAAACAGGCTAAAGGATTCAAAAACTTGGGTTTAAATCTTCCTTTTCCCAAACCTTTTGTTTTAAAAGGCTTTGAACAGCATTGAACAAGAGGACGAAGAAGAGCCAGTCAAGCACGCAGAGGAAGTAAGAATGACTGACATGGAATCTCTCCCCACGACTTTCATCTCAGACCTGGATGACTTAAAATGTGAAGAAGAGCCTTCACAGAGGGAAGAATTATTTGCCGTTGTTGACCAAGTACATATTTTCTCTCATAAATCGTTCATGCTTATAACAGTAAGGGGACAGCTGATTGATATATTCAGAAATGCTGCATTTTGCTAGAAGCATTAAAAAAAAGATTAGTCGTGATCCATTATGTGAATTAAATACTTGTCAGCTGATCAGAGTTAAAGTATAGAGATCTGCCTGAAGGCAGAGGAATGGGCTAGTGAAACCCTCCAAGTCTCTTCCAGCGTTATATCTTATTTAGAGTAGTGTTTGTGTTCTTCAGAAAGCACAATAAAATTGGCTCAAATATTTTTTTAAAAGAACTTGGTAGTAACTGAACTTTAAAATATTTTTCAAATAGCTTACTCCCATAGAGAAATATGCATTGAATTATCTGGAGCTCTTCCACGTTTCTGGTGATGAGAGTGGACAAAGAATAATAGAGGTAGGCCTTCGTTATGAATGAATTCTGAATTCTGAGGGTCTGAGTTGTATGAAGACCCCAGTGGGTACTTGGTTTAGGTATTTGTTGTTTTGTTTTCCCATTTTTGTATACTTTCATTGGCACAAAATAACCAGTAAGGTAGTCATGGGCATTGACTTACTCTTTTGACTTGGGCTTCATAGTTGTAGAGTTAAAGTGTTACAAGGTCATATAATTAACATAAAGTGTCACAACTAAGAAGTTTAAAGGACTTTATGGAAACTTCATCAGTTTCTTTTTCCCTTTTTTGATTTGGACCTGTGACTTTCATCCATGTAAGGATTTCCTGGTGTGGGAAATGTCCCTCCACCAGCGGAGACGGGAAACGTGACTGTGACTGGTCGTATCAGAACGTTGTCTTGGGGCAGCTGTAAGTTAAATGACTTGCCTGTGGCCATGTAGCGAGGCAATACTTGAACCCTTGTCTTTCTGACTCCAAGGCTAGCCTTGTATTCACTGTTCATTACTTATGCTCTCAATGACTACTTATTGCCCCATTTAGCAGAGTTCCTAAACTTTAGACAGAAATGAGATGGATTCCATAAAACACATGGACATTTTTATAATTGTACCCATGTAGTTTGCTTTTTCTATTGACTGTGCAGAAGTATGATATGGTCCCATGGAAAGAACATTGGAAGAAAAGTCAGATACCTGAAGCGCACTCTGGGTTCACCTAAACAAACTACATGACGCGGGGGTAGTGCTCGGCACATACTGAATGCTTAAGAAATGCTTGTTGACCCCAGTAAACCTATAGATGAAATTGGATTAGATGATTTCTGAGGTCTGTTCTGGTTCAAATAAATCCTCGTGTGATAGTGGGAAGAACACTGAATCCAGAGTTAGTGGACCTGGTCTGAATCTTGACTTTGCTACTGTGACTTGTACAACCTGTCTGAGTCTCAGTTCCCTTATCTGTAAAATTAAGGCCCTGGGCTAGATGACTTGTAAGGTCCTATCCAGCTCTAAATCCTATGAGGGAAAGGGAGGGAACAAGCAGTGATTAAGCACTTTCTTTGTGCCAGGCACTGTAACTGAGCACTTTTTACAAATATGATCTCATTTGATCCTCACAACAACCCTGGGAGGTAGGTACTATTTTGATCTCCATTTTACAGATGAGGAAGTTGAGGCAGACAGCAGTTAAGTGACTTGCCCAGGGTAACACAGCTATTATGTGTCTGAGGCTGGATTTGAACTCAGGTCTTCCTGATTCCAGGCCCAGTGTTCTATCCACTACACCACCTATAAGGAAGTTTCACTAAATGATTATTGTTGTATTTGTTAATTAATAGAAAGTTATATTAGAATAAGAAAATCCTGGAGTTGAAAGGAATCTTACATGTCTCATGTAACCTATAATCAGAAACAGGAATTCCTTTACAATATCTGTGGGAGAATCTTCTCTAGCGTTTCAGCCACAGGGACTCACTATCTTACAAGGCAACCCGTTCCATTATTGGACACTCCTAAATATTAGAAAGTTCTTCCTTTAATTAATTTAAAACCTGCCTCCCCCTGTCTTCCGCTCATTGGCCCTGGTTCTGTCCCCTGGAGCAATTTGTCTTCAAATATCAGAAGACTGCTCTTGTGCCCTCCAACAACTTATTCTTTGGGCAAAGCATGTCAGTGTCTTCAGTGGCTCCTGAGAGTCTTTCATCCTCCTCTGGATCTGGTGCTGAGACCTGAACGCATTTCCCCATGTGTAGTTTGAGCAGTGTAGAACAGAATGATACCATCTCTCCCTTGGGTCTAGGCACTCTTCTTCTTATACTAGGGTCGATGATCAGGCTAGATTTTTAGGGTCGGGCCTATCATATATTTGATTCATATCAAGTCTGTGGTCAACTAAAACCTTAAGTCTTCTTCAGATGAGCTGTCTTTAAGCCATTCGTTTTGTATCTGGTCCTCATACAATTGGTTTGGTTTATTTTGTTTTATTTTTGGAACTAACCTCTGGACTTTACATTGATCTCATGGTGCAGTGGGAAGAATGCTGGGCTTGGAGTCTAGAGAGTGCCAGGTCCAAATCGAACTTCTGACCCTTAATGGCTTTCTGAACAAGGCTGAGTCATTTAAACTCTGAACCTCATTCCCCACATATGGGACAAGGAGGCTCTGACATTTGGAGTACCTATCTTACAAGGTGGTGTGATAATCAAATGAGATAATAGCATCTACTTTGTAAACATCAAAGTGATACAAACATATCAGCTGCCCTCCTCCTTACCCTCATCCTCATCTTGTTCTCATCTGCTTTGATGGAGTTCGGATAGAAATGGTTCCAGAACTGGTCACTGAGCCTGCCAATATTTTTAAATAATTAATATTCTACAGACTATTGCATGGGTGGATAAAAGATCTCCTGGTTCGATAAAGGTAGTAGGATGCAAGCTTCTTCTCTGTAGGTTCCTTGAAAGTACTCTCGATACAGCTTGAGTGGCAGACAGGACCACAGCGATGACTTGCACCTCGTCCTGGTTTTAGGTAGTTTGGGTCTTCTCTGCTAGGTGTCTGTGTTGTGAAAGGTTTTTTTTTTTATTCCGTGTCCTTTGGAGATTGTTAGTACTTGGTATGTTTGTTCACAAGTTTTATGGACTGGTGGTTTGCCTGGGCAGTTGTGGACAATGGTCCAGCCTGTGATAACGAGCCTGTTCTAGGATTGTTGATTAGTAGAGCTCTCCCAAAGATTGTGAAGACTGTATTTGGAGCACAGGGTATTTATCATCAGTTGGTCCGTGGAAGATTATGAGCTTCTGGGGTGTAAGAGAAGGGGAAGAGAAGGAGGATTTCTGTAGTGCCTGTTACGTGCCAGGAACTGTGCTAAGCACTTCACAAATATTATCTCATTTGATCCTCACAACAATCTAGACGAACAGAGAAGTCAGGTGACTTGCCCAAGGTCACACAATTATTAAATATCTGAGGATGGATTTGAATTCAAGTCTTCCTGACTCTTGGCCTGGCACTCTGTCTACTGGACCACCTAGTTGCCTCTATAATTCTAGTCATGAGGTTTTGGGAGGTATTTGGTTGGCACTAAATATTCACAGCCTGCAGTGATGTATTTCACTACTACTGTCATTTCCTTGTGTCATCCATGTTATTCATATTACCATTATTATTATTTGGGCCAAGCCTGTGATTTCATTAGTAGCAGAAATTTCTTACATAAAAAAGAAAATCTTAGCATGGATTGGCTTATAGTTAATGAAACTATGTTGGCTTATTGTTCTCATCATTTCTCATTCTAAGAGCTCACAAAACATCTTTTGATAATCTCTTCTAAAATGTTGTCATAGATTGGTGGTGAATGTAACTGGTCTGTAGTTTGCACGATTTCCCTTTTCTTTCTGAAAATCAGACCTTGTCTCCATATCCTTCTTGTTCTCATCTCCACAATTCCTTCACTACAGTGATTTCATCTGCAGATTCTTTTCCCATCCTGATTTATCATTCATTTGGGCCAGGGCTTATTTAATTCTGCTCATTTAATGTACTGCTGGGGGTTTTCTTACTACATTTTCATCCATCCTGGGCTTTGCTTTCTTTTAACCATCCATGTTTGTTTTATATTTTCCAGTTTAAAGGCCTTGTCTAACTTAGTAAAGAAGGTGTAAGCAAAAGGTAATGAGGAAGTTTAACTTCATTGTCCTTTGATGACACACTTTGCACACGAGGAAGTGACCTGTTCCTTCCCTGTTCTTCCTGTTCCAGACATCCCAGAGTGCCCTTTTCTTTTCCTTAGTCATTATCCCAAGTCTCAGCTTATCCTGGGTTTCAGTTTTCCTAAGAGTATATTGTTATAGCTCTCCATCAGCCTTTTGTATGTCTTTCTCATTCCAGCATCTGTATACCAACTCTGAGCTGCCCAGGGAGCTTCCTTCCGTGTGTAGTCACATTGGTCTCATTAGGTGCTTTCCCACTCTCTTCCTCGTCAGATTCATTTATGATTAGTGTCAGAACTCATTCAGTCCCATCCCTCTTCAGCTGTCTCTTCTTTTAGAGCCATAGGCCGAGAGATCATGCCTGTGACTTTTCTGAACTTTTGAAATCTGCTTTCCTAAAGTCTAGGGCTTACGTCTCACTGTGTCCCCAAGGGTCTTCTCCTTCCCACGCTTGACTATCAGGACTCAAATGACACGGTCACTTTCTACTGATGAATATTTAAAAAATCTAAACATGTAAAGCTTCCTTGTTGTTCAATTTTGAAATAGAGGAAATTGAAGAATGTGAAGAAAATTTGGGAACTCCGTCATATGAGAGAATTGAAGGAAAAAGCAGAAAGCATGTTTCTAGAGGAGGAAGAGGAGTTATTGACTTACACGAGGGAAGATGCCTCTAATAAGGTACCTATCCTTGCATAAATGCAATGTGTGATATCTTACATTATAGGACGATAAAATCTGCTACTGAAAAGTTTTCAGAGTTTAAGGCATCTAAGAGAGTAAGTTCACTGTAAACCAGGGCTATCTATCCAGTGTGCATTGGGCAGGGCACTGGACAGGGACAGAACCCATTTTCCATGCTTTACTTTCTTGCTTTTGTAGGGGCACAAGCTTGTCTGTCTGTGAATCCCTTGAATACTTTTCCACATAAACTGCATTCACTTGTCACTTACTGAAGGGACTTTTAGTGCAAAATGTAAGAACAAATCTTGAGAATCGTTTTACTGTTCTGAGCCTTAGAGAAATAGCAGCTACCCATAACCGTTTTATAAAGGAACTTGCTGAAAGGAAGTATTGCCTTAGAATGTGCCCTGAATTCTACAAGGTAAAAAATGAACTGTGCATGAAGGGCTCTTTTTGTTTTATTCTGAAGATGCACTTTGCTTGAGAGGTTCCCAAGCCCTTGCTTTCTATCAGTAGTTGTGGCTTTGCACATTGTCAGATTTAGCTGTGGATAGAAAACTTGCCTGGAATGGACTGTGATGTGGGAATTGCAAAACTGCCTAGTTGTCGGTGGCGATTTCTCCGTTAGCAATGGACCATGTGTTGCCCATAACCATCTGACTCTAAGAAATTGTGTCTTTAACACAGGAATATGTTTATGAAGGTCCAGATGGGCAAACCGAGATAATGCCAGTAAGTTAAACAGGCTTTCTTTTTGTGTATCTGAGAAGTGTAGTCCTGCATGTGCACCGAGCAGCCGTGTCACTAAGTGTGATCTTACTGTTTTGCAGCTTTGGACCCCTCCCACTCCCCCTCAGGATGACAGTGACATTTACGTCGATCCCGTCATGTGTCTAATGTATGAAGCTACGCCCATTCTGGAGTCCAGTCTGCCGCCAGTGTACGTGAGGAAGGAGCACAGACGACCCAAAGCAGAGCCGTCTGGTAACGACGTTTTCCATTGACAACTTAGTGATAGAAAGACACTTGTCTTCAGATTCAGAATCTTCTTTTATCCTCTTGGCTGTACAGAGTTTTCTGCCAGCCAGATTTCTTTCTTACCTTTCCTTACTCTGTGAAATATTGGCATGAGTTCTGGTTCCTTGTGGCTTTTTAGGGCCCTGGCACAGTCTGGCACCCAGAGTGGGTAGGATTGACTTGGTGCCCTACAGAGACCACTTTTGAGCTACAGCTACACAAACACAGTGAGCTAGGCCTGAGGGGCCAGACAAGGGGTGCCCATCCCAGCTGGGATGCAGCTACCACGCAGACACACTGTAGAACATCAGGGTGCTCATTTATGCATTCAGACTTAATCTCGTTCATTGTCAGTGGACACACGTAATGGTTTCAGCCCGGTGGGATTTTAATGATCAGCTAGGCGCCTTTTCATTGTTGCTTTGGTCAAAGTTAATAGGGGAAAGAGTGACAGTGTAGTGTCTGTAAGATGTTGGAAAGCAGCAGCTATCTAGAGTGATAGTGGAACCAACATTTATTTGTGTCTAGATTGTATTTACCGGTGTTCCTCAGCTTGCCACAGCCCTTGGACGTTTGCATTCTGTCTTCCTTGTGCTTGCCTTTACAAATGTCTCTCGTACTGTCTCCTTAGCCGTCGGTCGGAAGAAGAAGCAGCGGCATGGGGAGGTCGTCATTCCTCCTCGATCCCTCTTTGACCGGGTGACTCCCGGGACGTCTAAGACGCGCCGAGAGGGTAAGGAGCAGAGGAAGAACGTTCTGTTGAAGCAGCAGACTCAGTTTGCCAGATCTTCTCCAGCAGCGGTCAAACCGACAGCAGAGTGTGGGCCAGACAGCCCAGAGTGGCTCATTAGTGAAGACTGGGCATTGCTGCAGGTGAGGGACTCTCCAGACAGCAGTGGGCTTTTGATGACCCTTTCTGCTTTCCTTTTTAAATTTGGGAAGATTTTCTAGTCTCGTGATTTGTGTTGGATATTTACATTTGAAATGTTATGTATAAAAATGATGATTTTTTCCCCCCATTTTAGGCTGTAAAGCAGCTGCTCGAGCTTCCTTTAAATCTTGCTATTGTATCACCAGCACACACCCCTAATTGGGATCTTGTAAGTGATGTTGTCAACTCCTATAGCCGCGTTTACCGCTCTCCCAAGCAGTGCCGAAACCGCTATGAAAATGTCATCATTCCGAGGGAAGAAGGAAAGGTGAGCTGATTTTTGAATTGCTCACAAATCTAGGTGTTTCCCAAGTTTTACAGGGATGTTTTGTGCCAGTAGGAGAAGGCCCTTGATCAGGGACCCAGGAGATGGGGTTCTGAGTTCTGCTTCTGACCCTGCTGAGCTTTGGACCTTGGGCACATGGCTGCCCTCATCTGTAATGCAGAGAGAACATTTGCTTTACATGTACTTGTATAAAACTGCCTTATCCATGCTGCAGCACTAGGCTGATGTGAGGTGAGGCTGTTGGGATTATTGTGAAGGGCTCTCCTGTCCTGAAAGAGGAAACGTGCTGCTTTTGATGCTATGTGAAACCTCATGTAGCCCTTTTTAGGGCTTTCTTTCAGCTGCTGTTTTTGACAAGATGTTTTCCATCTGTTCAGTCGATTATGTTCTGTTGCTCAATTCTTACAGAAACATTTAAATAACTAACCCTTGTCCTCCCCTGGGCTGGAAGAGCAACAAGAGTTGATAAAACGCTGCAGGTCCTCGTTCTGCTTTGGTGCTGTCCTTTGGGAGGGGAATTGTGTTGTCAGTGTATGCACAGAGGGCTGCGCACTGGAGTCAGGAACACCTGAGTACAAATCCTACCCGGGAGACTTACTTAGCTACATGACCCCGGGCCAGTCACTTCATCTTTTTCAGCCTCAGTTTCCTCGTTTGAAAATTGAGGATATAAATGCATCTGCTTTACAGAATTATTGTGACAGTTAAATGCAACAATATTTGTAAAGTGTTTTGCAAACTTTATATATACATGTTAGCTATCATTATATGGAAGAAAAACCTACCCATATACTATTTTGCAGAGTTGGCTATGAAGTAGAGATTATGAAAAATATTCGCTAGTCTCTAAATTGTTTTTATTCTTTTTCCACACTTGAGAAAACAAACTCTCTTTTATTAATAAGGCTCAGAGGAAATCGAGTGCTTTTTGATATTAATTGATTTTTCCTATTTGACAGCTCATGTTTGAAGCAAACCCTAAAAAGAAGGCCAAAAACATGTATAAGGTAGGTATTATCAGATGTTTTAAAAATAAGTATTTGAGCTAGTACCAGTACAAGTATGGTAAGGTATTACATGAAAAATAATTCTTGCATTATGTCCAGCCCATTGATATAGGAGTTATATTTGCCTAACAGGGACATATATACTATATTTTATTCTCTATGGAGTGCCTTCAACCAACATTCTCAGTGGTCTTTCTGGGTGAATTTTGTGTATTTGTGTGTCTGTCAACAAATACTATTTGTGATGTACCTGCAGGGTCATATCCCAGGTGCTGAGGGAGCCATGAAGCTAAGATGTGAGTCCTGACTTGTAGATAAGGCATCGAGATAAAGAGATAATTAATCCATGGTTATGTGTCTGTTGTTCTGTCTATGTGCCAGATAGGGAGCATAGCCAGTGAAAGTAATATAGTTTAGGGGAGGAATGTGGGTGGGGATCATTTGGGAAGACTTTTTGGATCTGGTGGGATTTGATCTGATGCTGAAGGATAGGTAGTGATTATGTAGAGAGAAGGTTTAAAGGCATTTCCACTAATGGTGAGGCAGGAAGAAGGTGAGAAGAAACATCAAAGTAGAAGTGCACAAAGGATATTAAGAGCATGATGAGAAGACTAGTCTGGTTTGAGCAAAAGTTGAATGTCAGATAGGGAAGGAAAGACAGGTCAGAGCCAGAATGGACAGGGCTTTGATGGCAGGGCTTAAGGAGTCTGGCCTTTGTTCTGTAAGCTGAGGAGGGCAAATGGAGGCATTTGAATAGGGGTGGAGTGTCTGTAAAGCAGTGGCAATTTAGGATGATTAATTTAGCAGTAGTATATAGGATAGATTAGAGGAAAGAGACCTGGGAGATGTAACCCCCTCCCATTCATGGAGAGTATGTTCTTCACATATAAGTGCTAAGAGCTTATGATAGGAAATGGTGTGTGGGGGATGGATCCGTGCCTGAACTCTGCTAGTGGTAGTGATTTCCTCTGTTCACAGAACCTGAGGGCCATATTTGTGCCTTGTAGTCATTGCCCCATCACATTTAGATACTCTAGGTAACAGTTGGGTCCTTCTTTGCAAGGATCAGTGCCATATTTGCCATAAACAATGATTGTCCTCATTTGGAGATGATATGTACTTGGGGCCATCTGTTTCTGTGACTTTGGGGATATTTTCAGATTTGGGGGATAGTACAGCTCCAGGGTGTGGCCATCCTAACTTCAGGGCTCTGTTGACCCTAGACGGTTTGATGCTGGGTGTTTCAGTCTTCAGAGGAGAGTCTGCAAACTTTGTCTTGGGTTCAAGGGCCTTGCTGCATTGGGCCATGAATTCGGGACACAGACTGTAGGACAAGGAAACAGAATATATTGGGGGATTATTGTTCACACCTTTCTCTTACACTCCTTTGTAGACCAAGAATAGTCGTCCACTTCGCACCAACCAGGTCTATGCCCAAGATGAAGGTGCCACCCGCATGCAACTTTATATCAGTCACTTTGAGATGGCGAAAATGATTGCAGGAAAGAGAAGTCCCCTGAGTAAGCCCCTGTAAGTTATTTATGATTGTTCTCTTTTCATCTAATTAATGGTGTTTTTGAGCTGAGTTGGCACATAGGGGGCATCTGCAGGCATAAGAGCTTTCAAACCTTTCCATTAGGAATATCAGGGTGAGGGTGAGGATGCTTGAAGACATTAGGCATGTGTGTGTGTGTGTGTGTGTGTGTGTGTGTGTGTGTGTGTGTGTGTGTGTGTGTGTGTGTGTTTGTGTGTGTACATGTGTACCTGAGGGATGGGAGAAGTGTAAGGGTATAGGGCTTCCAAACAGGTAAGAGGAATTGGTTTATGAGGGGAACTTCCTGTCAGGTTAATAGATATGTTGTTGATTGAATCAATTCCTAGACAAGATGATTAATGTAACTGTGTCCATGGGAGAGAAGGCTTTGGCAGAGTGCTGAAGGTCTCTGTCCTCTGTCAGCATTTTTATCAATGTCTTAGATTGGGGGATTGTAATCTTTTTGTATCTGGGGCCCTTTTGGCAGTCTACTGAAGCCTATGAGCCCTTCTCAGAATAATTTTTCAAAAAAATTCATAATTAAGGGAAATTTTAATTCAATTAGAAGTTAGTGAAAATAATGACATTGTATTTTCCCATCTGAGTTCGCAGACCCCCTGAAATCTCTCCATGAACCCCATGAACTCTGGGGTTAGATGAAGACATAGGGGATATTCTTATTTCATCTGCAGATGACACACTGCATATCTAATGCATTGGATGATAGCATTTAGGTCTAAAAGAATCTCAGAACTCGAGCCTGATGCTAGCAAGATGAAGTTTAATAGGATAAATGTAAAGTTATGCCTTTAGATTCAAAAAATAGATGGCACAAGTATACAATTATAGAGCTCTACCTGAAGGGCAGTTCATTTGAAAAAGACCTGGGCTTTTAGTTACTCAGTATGAATCAGCAATATGATGTAGTTGCCAACAGGCTTTTTAATTGTGGGCACCATGTTTTAGGAAGGATTGTGACAAGCTGGAATAAAGAGGATGCTGACCAGGAAGGTGAGGAGATGTCATGTCATATGATGATCAGTTGAATAAACTAGACATTTATCCTGGAGAACAGCTATTGTTGACAATAGCAACAGTAATAGTAGCCACCACAACAGTAATATTTGCTTAACTTTTAGGCTTGGAATGAATCCTTTCCAGAAGAATCCCAAACATGCATCAGTGTTTGCTGAAAGGTAGGGACCCAGAATTCATAACAGTTCTCAATTATAGGGAGCGGTTTTTCCTCTGAAATTTTCTATAAATCTTTACTTCTCTTTCTAGTGGAATCAATTATGACAAGCCCCTGCCTCCAATTCAGGTTGCTTCCTTACGGGCTGAACGTATTGCTAAGGAGAAGAAGGTAAAGTAGCCACTAAAGTGTCTCCTAACTGATCATACTAACAGTTCATGTGTTGCACATCGAAGAAGAGATAATCTCCTTGTGCAGCATGATTCTGTAGTGAAGCACTTGATGATGCTTCCAGCCCTCCTGGGAACTGCCCTTAGACTTCCTCTGTAGATTTGTCCTTTCATACATGAAAAGATTGATTTCTGTGCCAGGGTTATCCCAACATGCTGTAATATGGCAGACTTGAGTGCAGATGCTCCTGCTAACTGTGTGGGAAATGGTGGTGTTTTTCCCCACTTGTTTCTAGGCTTTGGCTGAACAGCAGAGAGCCCAACAGCAAACAGGGATGCAGCAGCAGCAGCAAACCCAGCAAGCAGCCGGGCAGCACCAGCAGCAGCCTCAGGCTCCAGTGCAGCTCCAGCCCCAGCCCCAGCCCCAGCCCCAGCCCCAGCCCCAGGTGGTCCAGCAGCCCTCAGCTTTAGTGCAGCCTGCAGCAGCTACTGTAGCCACCTCTGCAGTCTTGGTAAGAACTTGTGGAAAAGAAACTATCATTCTTCTAAGTTTATATTTTAAGAAAAGTTCTTCATGTGTGACCCCTCCTTTATTGGGTTGCTTGTGATACCCAGTGCCATATATATTGAGGAACCTGTTAAAGGGACATTGTTCAGATCCCCTGAAATAGCCGTATGACCAAACAGTACTTTTGGGCACTTGAGGTGGGGTGGGGGAAAAGGGAGAGGGAGAGAAGGAGAGAGGGAGAGAGAGTGCCATAAATGCATAAATGGCAAGGATTAGGTTTCACTTGAATTCACCAGATCTAAGTTAAGTGACATTATGCAAGTAACTGAGAATAAAAGTGAGTAAACTTTAAAGTTTAAGGCTATATTTATGTGGATAATTACTAATTACAATCCAAGTAAAATTACTGAATCAAAGAATCACAGAATTACTGTCTAATGGCCCAAAGGGAACTCACTGGCATTTAATTCCATCTACAACTTAGTTGAGAAGCAGTCAACCCAGCCTTTGCTTGGAGACCTCTTGTGAGGAAGAGCCCATTGCCTTTGGAGAGAGCCCAGGGCACTTTGGGGGCCTCTGATTGTTAGGAAGTTTTCCCCTTGTATCAGACCTCAAAAGGCATCTTTGCCATTTCTGCCCATTACTTCTAGTTTTCCCCTCTGAGACACAGCAAAACAAGCTTAATTCCCCTTAAATACAGGAAGGCAGTGAGCATGTCCTTCTTAAGTCTTCTCTGCTCCATGCTGACTGCTCTGTGAACCACAGGTGTCCAACTTGATCAGAAAGGAGGACCAGTGAAGCACTTCAAGATTCGTGTGGGCTGAATGTTGACTTAGAAAATCACACATTCACATTATTTATGTTCAATTTATGTTGTTAAATATTTCCCAGTTATATTTTGGGAGTGTTGTGGGCTGCATGAGGCCCACAGGCCATGTGTTTGACACTTCTGTATAGACATGGCAAAGTCAACATGTTCAAAACTGAGCTCTTTCTCTTGACCCCAAACTCGGCCTTCTCTGAACCTTTAATTTGTGTTGAGAGCACCACCTTGCTCTTGGCCTGACTAGGTTCTCAGGCTTGTTGTCATTCTCTGCTCCTCTCTCTTGTTTATCTCACACATCCAGGCAGCTGCCCGGTCTTGTTACATCTCCACAGTGCCTCTCGCATCTGTCCCCTTCTTTCCCCTCCCGTGGCCATCCCCAAGCTCAGGCTCTCCTCTCCTCTCCCTGGGCCAGTGCGGTGATCTCCTAATTGATCTCCCTGCCTCAGGATTCTCCCCTCTCCAGTCCGCCCTGCACACAGCTTCCACACTGATTTCCTGAAACATAGACCTGACCGTAGCACTCTTTTACTACACAAACTGTGTCCTCCCATCATCTCTAGGATCAAATATGAAATTCTCTGGTTGGCAAAGAATTCACAGCCAACCCGCCTTTTCATTTGTCTTCTACATACGCTTTGATCCTGCCAACAATGGGCCTTCTTGCTATTGGTCATCCGTGGCAGGACATCTCAGGCCTTCACACCTTGTCTTGCCTGTCCTCCAGGCCTAGAGTGTCCTCCCTGCTCGTGTCCATTTTTCAGAAGCCCTGCTTGCCTTTAAGGCTTATAGCAAGGCCTTTCTGTCTGAGGCCTCCTCGGACCCCGATGGCTGCTTGCACCTTTCCCCAGTTGACCAAATTACCTCTCACGTATTTTGTACGTATGCATACATGGACATGTTGTCTCCTTCAGCTAGAATGAAAGCTCCTTGAGGGCAGGAACTGTTTTCACTTTTGTCTTAGTATCCTCCGAACCTAGCACAGCGTCTGGAACATACTAGATGTTTAATATCATCAGTTATTCCACAAGACTTTATTTGAACACTTACTATGTCCACTGTGGGAACGTGGAGAAAGGGAAAAACAGTGTCCTTGTCCTTAAGAAGAGAGATAGAATGTAAATAAGCAGGTACAGGCCAGATATGTTCAGTGTAAGTGGGAAATAATCTCAGAGGGAAGGCACTAGCAGGGTGAGGTAGGAGGAAGGAGGCTCTTGTAGAAGGTGGGATTTGGGCCAAGGCTTGAAGGAAGCTAGGGGAGCCAGGAGACAGACAAAGAGCATTCTGGGCATTGGGGACAGCCCGGCAAAGGGCACAGAGTCAGGAGAAGATACTTGTGAGCTGAATGATGGTCTTCACCAGTCTGGTCGCCGTCTTCTGAAGGCTCACCTGCTTATCATTGCCCTTCCTAAAGTGTTACACCCAGAATGAAACATCATACTTCAGATGTGGTCAGGCTGCAACAAGAGCAGCATGACTGGGGCCTTTCTTGTCCTGGAGCACAAGATTGGGTTGCTTGTTTTGGTGGCCATAGCACTCAGTTGACTCCCATTAAGCTGAGTCTCCCTCATATGCCTGCCAGAAATTCTGAATTGGATGTTCTGTGGGCACCTCAGACTCAAAGTCTCCAAAACAGAATTTGTAATTTTAGCCCTAGCCCCACTCCCCTCCTGAGCTTCTCTGTTACTGTTGGAGGCCAGCATCCTTCCAGTTACCTGGGTTTGCAGCTCAGGGCCCTTCTCTACTCCTCACTCTCACTCCACATAGCCAATCAGTTGTCAAATTGCATCATTTCTGTTTCCCCAACTTCCATCTATCACTCACAGCCCTGTTCCTCCACTCACATGGCCACCACCTAGTTCAAGCTCTCATCTTCTCCCTGGACTTTAGCAATAACTGTCCACTTGGTTTCATTTTCTTCTAAACTCCACTTAACACAGCTGCCAAAGTGAGTTCCCTAAAGTACAGGTCTGACCCTGTTACCCCCGCCCTCTCCCCTTCCCTTCCCATGCCCTGATGCTCCAAGCTGCTAGTGCCTTCCTTTCCAAGACTGCTTTGCATTTCTCTCTCTCTGTGTATGTATATATCCATATAGCCACACGTCCATATATACACAGTATACATACACAGTGTATGTATATGTGCAAGTGAATACATAAGTATGTAATAAATATATATATGTATATCCATCCATCCATATATATATATGTGTGTGTGTGTGTATGTATGTATATCCATACATATGCACACATATATACTTTCTGTTATTTTCTCTCCAGTTGAAAGATTATTCTCCTTGGCAAAAGTAGCAGAAGCCAAAGTCACATCAGACCAGTCTGTCATCCTCTTCCTCCTCTCTCCTCTGAGCGTTGTCCCCATCTCTGCCTTTTGTGGTAATCCTTCTTCTCCAGTATAGCTTGGAAAAAAGATTTCTGTTGTCCTTAACTTTCCTAGGTGACTTTGGCCCAGTCTGAGCCTTGGGGCTTCTGCTCCTGTTCCTTGAACTCACCAGGGTTTGTTGTCATTTTCTGACCTGCCCTCTTGCTTTCATCTTTTGTACATGTGTTGGAGAATCCGGGTTGGTCTGTGAGTTCCCTGGGTATCTGTATAAGTTTCCTCAGAGAAGAGGCTTTTCCTCCTCGGGAGAATTGCTTCTCTCTCTTCCTTCTGGGCTGACTTAGCCTGTAGAATTTTGGTCAGCTGGAGTCAGTATTACTGCAGAATGACTGAACAGCAGCAACAGATGCTTTGCTTGGCACTTTGGAGCGTGCTCTCCCAAAACTTAAGGGGCATGTCCAACTATTCCTTTTCTGCTGTATTACAGATGGGATGTTGGAGTAGTCACTGCCCCACAGAGCTGCTACCGTTCCCTTCCCAGAAACCAGTTCCTCCATGTTGATGACACTTCTCCCTGTCCATTCTTCCATCTTTCTGAAGAATGAAATTAGCATTAATCCCAGAATTACTGATTTATAATTGAAAAGGACCTCAATGACCATCTAGTGCCTGAGAAAGAAGCCCCCATGGCAGTTAGTAAGTGGAGGCTCCCCTTTCCCTGCCATACGCCAAGCAGAACAAGGCAGGCCAAGAATTGATTAGCTTGTTTGCTTTTGGTAGAGAAAGAGCTCTTGTATGTACACATCCAGGTAAGTGACGTCTCTCATTCCTGCTCTCTCATGTCTACATGCTGGTTTGTGATCTTTTCCCCCGTAGTCCTCATCTCCTGCCTCATTTTGTCCAGGTGGGCGCCAGTGTCTGTTGATAATATCCCTCATGTTTGTGCCTTGCCCAAGGCTGCTCGGTCCCACTGTGTCTGTGAACCAAGCAGAAGCAAGCAGAAAGGGCACGTGACTTGTTTAAGATCACAAAGCTAGTCACCAGGGGCAGAGCTGGAGCTCCAGCCCAGGTTTTCCAACTCCCGAATCCATCACTGTTTCCACTCCAGATGAGCTCAGAAAAATGCAATGTCCTGTGCACAATGTCGGATATTATTTTGGCTTATACTGTGACTTAAACTGTCTTTTCAACAGGCTGGAACGATCAAACCTGCTGGCACAGGTACAAGTGTCCAAACAGGTAAGAGCTTTTTGTAACAGCATTTTATGATTTGGAAAGAAAACCAGCAAAAGTCTTTTACTTTATTACATTTTCCCTGGTTTTGGTTTGTTTTCAGCTACCGTGAATGGAAATGTCCTCGTGAACACAGTTGCTGGCGTCCCAGCAGCTACATTCCAGCCCATCAATAAGCGTCTTGCCTCACCAGTTATGCCTGGACCACTGGCAGTAAGTAATGGCTCGGCCTCCTTCCTGCCCACAGTCCAGGTAACACAGCACAGGTCCCATTTTCTTAGAGTCTTATTGGCTGTGGTGTAATTAGTCTAAACTGCTCCCAAAGGACAAACCTAATCTTGTGACTAGGATGTCTGCCTGGTCAAATTAGATGGTGTATGCAAAAAACTTTGTAAATATTAGCTATTATCATTATTTTGTTAAGCACTCTAATTCTTTAAATAAAGAGGCATGATTTCGTCAGTGTGGATGCTTATTCTGCCCCTGCAGATAAGAAGCCTTTCATGCCTCATTGCATGATTTCTTGAAATTCTTTGGCCAAAACCCATCGTAATGAGTCAGTCAGCTCCAAGGTGATGGATGAGCCTCTGCAAACTTAACCTGCTCTAAGAGGAGGGGTGTGACCTAGATGACCTAGAAGGTCTCTTCCTGCTCTAAATCCATGACCCTGTGATCCCAAACAAATGGCGCATGGGCTGGCCTCTCCTGGAAGCCTTTCCACCTTCATGGGACCTGCCAGAACTTGAACTTGCTGACAGCCTTGGGGGAGCCTGGGTTGCCTCCACACCGTGATGAAGCACTGGAGGAAGACTTTAATGGATAGTTATAAGAGCAGCCACACCCCATCTGTCTGTAGTGCTTCAAGGCTCACAAAGTGCTTTGGTCCTAACAACCTTGTGAGTGCAAGTTTGCCCCATTTAACAGATGAGAAACTGAGGATCGCAGTGGTGAAGTGACTTACTTGTCTGGGGTTACAGATTGCCTTTCTCTATTATTTCCCCTTTTTGAGGGGAGAGGGGTAATTTATTTAGTTACAATTGTATTTAGCTCTCTTGTACTTTTGTTGTCTGAAGTGTTTGCAAAGCAAATCATCTGTTCAAATCTGGTTTTCTTTGTAGGAATGCCTCAAATTTCTCTTTTGAAATTGAATGTCCATCTTTTTTCATTGATGATTAGGCTCAGGTTTGCAAGGTATGTCACCATAGGTTGTATCTCCAATTCCTTTGCTCTTTGGAACACATTATTCTGTTCCTTCTTACGGTTTTTGGTGGGTACAGAATCGTCCTGGGTTGTTCCATTTTCTTTTCTTTTTCAGTTGAAAGTCTTTCTCCTGGTCACTTGCAGAATTTATTGTTTGTCATTGAAATTAATTAAATTTAACCACTATATGTCTTGGAGTTTGCAGCCTGGGATTTTCTTCTTTATCTCCTGGAGATGCTCTCTGGATTCTTTCAGTTGGCATTATGTTTCTGTGATCAGAAGTTCTGGGCTATTTTCTTGTATTAGTTCATGTATTGGGGTGTTCAACTGTCTCACGTTTATTCTTCTGGGAGACTTATAATCCTTAAGTTGTTTCTATACATCCTCTCTTTGAGGTCAATATGTTCTCCTTTGCATAGAGAGTAGGTCTCCTTTTAAAATTGTTGCTTTTTGCTTTTCTGAGGTAGCTCAGGTGATACAGTGGATAGAGCACTGGATAGAGTGAACCAGAATTCAGATGTGACCTCAGACACTTCCTAGCTGTGTGACCGTGCGTGAGTCACTTAACTGCTGTCTGCCACAGTTTCCCCATTTGTAAAATGGGGATAATACCTACCTAATAATACCTACCTCCCAGGGTTGTTGTGAGGATCCAGTGAGATTATGTTTGTAAAGTGCTAAGCAAAGTCAGCAACATGTGAATCTGCAGTAGCCATATCCCAAAGTGTATGTTTTGTCACCTTCTGTCCATGACCTCTCCATCAGGAAGTGGGTAATGTGCTTCATCCTAGGTTTTCTGGAGGCATGGCCAGTTACTGCCTTGATAAGAGTTTTGAGATTTTTCAGAGTTGTTTTTCTTTACAGTGTTACTGTCTTTGTATAAATTACTCTCCTGGTTCTGCTCACTACACTCTGTGCCAGTTCATACTACTCAGGATTCTCTGAAATCATCTTTTATAATTTCTCATGGTAAAATCATATCCCATTGCATTCATATAACATATTTTGTTGGCCATTCCCCACCTAAGAGGTGATCTAAGGTACCCTCTTAGATGATTAGTTCTTTCATCCCCCCCCCCACTTTTGACCCTTACTTCAGGGTCAGGAAGCTTATTTTGCTTGTGTGTATGTGTTATGTTCAACAGTCCTCTGTCCATTTCAGATGTGAGTTAGTTCATCTCATGGCCACTGCTCCACCCCTTTTTCCAGGTTTGTATGCTCATCTCATGCTTTCCAGTTATGAAAAATCAAACAATTCCTTCCACTTACTCAAATTTCCTTTCTGGGTTTCTTTGTTTTTTTTGTGTTTGTATTTCAATGGTCCTACTCAGGTTTGTTTGTTTGTTTTTTTTAATCAGAAATGTTTGAAAGTTCTTCATTTCACTAGAGATCCATTTTATTTTCTTTAAGAAATATATCCAGCTGTGCTGGGCAAGTAATTCTGGGCTATATAGGCCTAGATCCTCTGCCTTTTGGAATATTATATTCCCAAATCTCTTTCTTGTTTCTTAGTAGAAGTTAACAGGTCTTAAATCACCCTGATTTGATTGGTAGTTGAGCTGCTTCTGATTATATGTTTACAGTATTTTTCTTTGACTTGGGAATTTGGCTGGATTTTGGCTATAGTATTCCTGGGACTTTTACTGGGGGTTCCTGTCAGGAAGAGATTGGTAGATTATTTCTACTTCTACCCTCTGGTAGCTCTAGACTGTTTGCATATATGATATCTTGAAATATTGAGTCTGGACTTTTTTTTTTTCATTAAATCATGATTTTTTTTTCTCTCCTCTTCCAGGTCCATGTTTTTGATATTAGATATTTTATATTTTCTTGTTTTTTTTCAACCTTTTGATCTTATTGCGATATTTCTTGCTTTCGCATGGAGTCATTGATTTCCATTTGGTTTATTTTAGTTTTCAGAGATTTCCTCTTCTTTGGTAAGATTTATCACTTTCTCTTCTAAGCTACTTATTGTCCTTCCAGTTCTTTCCTCAGAAGCTTTTACTTCATTTTTGAAAAATCTCTTGCTAAGTACTTATGTAGTCTTTGTGGAAAAAAATCCATTTTTGCTTTAAGTCTCTTCTGATAGTTATTCTGGAGTTAATCTCTCCTTTTCCTGGATCTCTAGATTCGAAGTTTAATTGGCCATAATTGGCAGGTGTTTTCTTTGCTTGACTCAACTCTCCAGCTGTAGTTCCTGGACTGAGGATTTGTGGTAGAACCAGGCTCTTTTCCCAGCATGGTCTCGCCCTGCACGCCCTGGATTCTTGTGCTGACTTCCACTTCCCAGAGTCTGATTCTCTGGGATCTTTCAGGGTCAGAGCACTAGATCTTCAGGGCCCTCTTTGGCATCTCAGGACAGTGTTCAGGATGTCTGACCCCTGCATTTCAGACCCTGCCTTTCTGGATCTGAGTATCATAGTGCCATGCTGTCCACTGTATTGTTGCCTGCTGCTCCCTCCCTAGGGCTCCCAAGTACCGCATCCCAGGGTTTTCTGACTATTCTGGGGCTTGTTTAGGGCAATCCTGTGCTCTTGCAGTGGACTTGCAGGCTACATATCTCATCTCCAGACATGCTAGACTTGTAGGCAAATTTTTTGAGTAGCTCTGGGTAGATGAAGTCACTTACTATGGTTTCTCATTGGATTTCTTGATCTTTTTTCAGTCTGGTGTGAACTGGGTGGTCTACTTACCATTCAGGCAGCCATCAGTGGCAGAAAGCCCCCATACTCCCATAGTTAAGCATTAGCTAGTCACAACAAACTGAGAGGCACTGACTTTTTTTTAAAAGAATGTTTGGTTTATATTTGCACCCCTTTGAAGAAAAGTTCACATTTGGTATTCTTTTTAAAAAAGGCTTCAGGAGGTGGCACTCCTGCTCCAGTGGTTCATAGCCAGCCTCGGCCAGCTGTCACACCTGCAGCTTCTGCCGAGCTCCTCTCTGTCGCGTCCACTCAGGGGGTGCGAGCACTCACTCCTATCCCAGCGTCCACTGTGGCCATGACCAGCCTGACCCCTGTGCAGGCTCAGACAAGGTCGTTAGTGACTCAGGTAACACAAGGTAACAACTGGGTTTTCTTACACTTTTACTTGTAAAACAGATCTAAAAAGGGCCTGCAAAAATAGAAACATTAATTTTGAACACGTACAGTGTTATTTATTTATTATTTATTAGCTGTGCAGATCATTTACTTTAACTGTGTCTACAGCACAATATATGACATGCGTGCTGGTTTCATTGCTGTATGTATAGGTATGATAAAAGGAAGCCAGGAAACCATCTTTTATCTGAAAATTATTTTTCTTTATCTTTAGCATGTGTTTGTGTCTTCTAAACTACCTCAAAATCTCCAGACTTTTCCAGGGTTAAATCATCCTTCCAAATCATCCTTCCTAGAGTAGAATCCTTTCTAGCATAAGCTAAGGTGTTACCTATAGATTCACTAATTTTATCATCCCTCAAAATATAGATTTGGGGGTTTCTTTTCTTTTTTGGATTTGAGCACTTCTCTGTTTTCTTTGCAGGGACAGCCACAGGAGTTCAGCTTTCCAGCAAAACCATCACTCCTGCCCACTTCCAGCTTCTCAGGCAGCAGCAAGTAGCAACTCAGGTGTGGGTCCCACTATTTCAGGGCAAAGTCATAGGCTGGTGCAGTTTCCAGGTCCAATAAAAACCACAGGAAAGGTATCCTAGCTTAGAAAGTCTTTGTTGTGAGTAGAATGGCTTTGGTGATAAGAGGTCCAATGGGTATTAGTGAGAACCTGTACTAGAATAGTGGTGGGAGTGGAAGGAGAGAGGATTGTATATCTGCTGTAAGAGATTTTAGGAGACAGAATGACCCCTTGGACTTCTGAACTGTTGGGGTAGAGAGGGAAGGGAGAGAGGATGGAAAGACAACAAGGTTTCACCCAAAATAATGAATGAACAAGCATTTATTAAGCACTTCCTTTGTTCCAAGCACTAGGCTAAGGACTGGGGATAGAAACACAGAAGTGAGACAGTCCTCTCTGTTTTCAAGAAGCTAGTGTTCTTTTTGGGGGAGACAGTGCATATGGAGGGTTCAGCTCAGGGCAGATGTAGAGGCTGGTGGTCCTTAGGATCTGGTAGAAGGGGGATAGCAAGATACAGGGTTCTTTCGGATACACAGCATCAAGGGAGTTGATGATGCCCAGGGGTCTGGAATATGGTGGTGGCAGAGCAGACAGTAAGGCTCAGTGGTTTTCCCTCTTACTGGAAGGGTTGTAGCTCCTGACACTTTGCTCATCCAAGTGTGTGAGCGGCGGTCATATCCTTCCTGTGGAGGGAAAGTGAGGTGGAGGGGCCCAGTCTATAAATGCTGGGAAAGGGGAAGTGGGCCAAGAGTCAAGGCTTTATTGGGGTTAGCGTCCTGATGGGAAAGAGAAAGCAGAAAGAGGCATTGGGCGGAAGGTCAGATGGGCAAGCTCTCTGTGTTGCTGGCACCTGTGGGATCTGGTGGTCTGGGATAGAGGAGAACACTCACTGATGCCAGGCACTTATGGGGATCTCAGGTAGCAGTAGGCAACAGGTGGGTTTTCTTTATTCCTGTATCTGTACAGTGTATCTCAAGGGACTCAGAGAGTTATAAAGTGTCACACAGATATCGCTATTAATGTGTGTTGTTGTACACAGCACCTAAAGTTATTTATTATCTTAATGAAGTCAGAGGGAGGAACAAACTTGGGGGAACAGAGAATGAATTACTTACGGACTGATCCTTAGTATGAGGTTTTTTTACTTTTATTTTTTGAAACTAGCAACCACTTGCTAACAGATTATTAAAAGACTGGATGTTGTAATCCAAAGCCCATCAACTTTTTGTTTGCTTTGCTTAGCTCTCCAGATGACCTTCACTTTCCCATTATTTCTGTACTTCATGAGTGCATAATTTCATCATTTAGGATGCTTCCTTCACTATTGCAGATTTCAGCCCCACAATGACTTGGTAGAAGTTCTGTGTTCGTGTTGGGGTAGCAGAAAAATGCATCACTCTCTGTAGCCAACCTGGTAATGAACTTCTCCTAACTTAGGCTGGTCCTTGGATGACAGATTTTATAATCTGTCACTAGACCTGTACTCGAAGCCTTTCCAGATTGGTAGGACTAACCTCAAGGGTGTCTTGGAGCTAGCTTGTGCCAGCTGATTGTTACATTTTTAGTGTGAGCATTTACACTTTGGAAATCAGCAAATGCTACAAATCGGGGCTTCACGTATTGTTTTATTAATTGTCTAGACTTAAGACAGTGATGGGAAAAATGTTAATAATGCAGATTAACCTTAGAAGTATGCTGTGAGTATATCCCCTTCACCTCCCCCCCTTCCCCCAAGAGCTGGTTGTTAAACATTTACCACCACATCCTTGGGAACAGTATCAGAGTAGAGGTCACTCAAGGAGCCCTGGGAAAACTTTCATGTTTATAAAGAATTATTTGGTGATGACATAGATAAAAATACTGGTTAAAATTAAGTCAATATCAGGGAGCAGCTAGGTGGCGCAGTGGATAGAGCACTGGCCCTGGAGTCAGGAGGACCCGAGTTCAAATCCAGCCTCAGACACATAACACTCATTAGCTGTGTGACTCTGGGCAAGTCACTTAACCCCAATTGCCCTCACCAAAAAACAATAACAAAATTAAGTCAATATCGCTCACTGATTGAAAACAAACATGTTTAATGATAAGTAAGTTTGCATTAAAATGAAGAACTGCTGACATTTTAAGCGTGGCTGGGCTTGCAGTTGATTGAGGGTTTCCTGTACATTAAACAGTTGATACGCTAAACCATCAATTAGTCAATTCAGGTGCATTTACCCAGACATAAAAAATTTCATTACAGTAGGGAATGAAGAGATTTGAAAGTCCATAATCAGTGAAGATGTTCATTTCCTATTTTGACTATTGCTGATTAAAGACCCAGGCAGTCATTCCATATCCATGAACATCAGTTGCCTCATGATATTAAGACTAATGTTCCTATAGCAATATAGTATCTTGTCTTAATGTCTCTATTCTTCATTATGTAAAAACATGTACGGTATTTTAGCATACATACGTATATATAGATGTATACATACACACACACACACACACACACACACACACACACACACACCCACACATTGTGGATGCAAGGATGAGTTTACTGAATTTTCAGCCTTCCCAGGATCCATAAGTAACAGTGTGGGAGTTACATAAGCGTTGGCACTGCTCAGTAAAACAGACTAAAATGAATGTTCTTGTCTCTCTGTAGGAGCACCTGATCAAACTGCAGAAGCATAAACTGCAGCTGGCCTCCCAGCCCATGCCTCAGCAGCAGCCTCCACCAGGACCACAGACAGCTCCGGCGCCTCCTCCACTGCCCCCTCTGCTGCCGCCTCCAGCGCCGTCCCCCCAGCTCACTGCCGTCCAGACCCCCAGGCCCGGAGCCGTACTGGCTGGCACCGCCGTGGCCAACCTCCAGGTCACTCGCCTTGTGAGTTCTCCGTCCCTCCTGTTCAGAGCAGCTTTTCGAGTAGACGGATTCTGGCCAAAGTGGCCTTGTCTCTCTGGGCCTCTGCACCGGCCATCCCTTGTGGCTGATGGCCTGACCCCTCGTCTCTGTCTCAGAGTAGGTGCCCCATCTGCAGATCAGGCCTTTCCTGAACCCCCAGTCACTACTAGTGCTCTCCCTCTCACACTGCTTTGCATCTAGCCGCTTTGCCTGTGGTGGTACTTAATTAACTTAACCTGTGTGCTGCATGTGTGTGATTAGGTCCTTGTTATCTCTCTTGTCGGATCGTTTGCTCCCTGGGAGGAGGGGTTGTTTCATTCTTTGGTCTTGTGTCCCCAGAAGCCAGCCCAGTGCCTGGCACATTGTGGGAGCTTCAGAAATACTTGCTGATTGCTTGATTCCACCCTTTAAAGACTCATGATGGATCCAAGGTACTGGGAAACTAACGTGACCCCTGCTTCTTCCCGCGTAGACTCGTGTGGCCACTTCTCAGCTTCCGGCTCCAGGACAGACTGCCCCTGCAGCTCCTGCCAAACCTCCTGGGGCATCATCGCCGGCAGTCACAGCCCTCGCAGTGAACAGGACAGGAATTGGGGGGGCTGTCAGCCAACCCCAGAAAGCCACAGGTGCTTGACTGGATCTTCAGGCATTTTGGTCAGTTAGCTTTAAGATGTGAAGGGCCTCATTTCCACGATGTGTATCAGGCCTATTAAAGCCCTTCAGCGTGGAGCTTGTTGGTTTTATTTTTTCATCAGTGCAGTCTGTGGCCAGCTGAGCCTTTGCTCTCTTAAGAATGGGAGACAGAACCAAAGCATTTTTGTGTGAAAGGAGACCTTGGGTCTAACCAGTGGGAAGCCCAGGACTGGGGTGGGGAGGTGGGGGAACAGAAGAAAGCCTGTTCACTTTCCTGTTCAGTAGTTGGTTTCAACTCCCATCTTCTGAACAAATGAGCAAAACGCTAGAGAAAATCCACCTCCTGTAATACGGACTGGCATTCCAGCATGCTAAGTGCCATTGTTGTTTTTCTTATATAGGACCAACAGTAGTTGCTCAGCCATTGCATGTCCAACAACTTCTGAAACTCAAAACCCACCAGCAACAGAAAGTCATTCAGCCTCAGAGTCAAACGACTGTCCAGCAGAAGGTAGAGTTTTTCTGTGAGCCCCTTAATGGGTACGGGTATGGACTTCTCCTGACATACTATAGAGGCTGTAAATTTTACTGCATTATGGGAAGTTTGTACCATTCCCAGGAAACCTGCGGGCTTCTTCTGGGCCCCTCCAGGATGTCTCTCTCTTTCTCCAATCTCTCTCCCTCCCTCCCTTCTTTCACCCTCTCCTCTCTCTTCTTTCCCTCCCTCCCTCTCAAGGTCCCCCTTCTCTCTCCTTTCTTTCTTCCTCTCTCTCCCCACTCCTCTCCCTTTTCTCTGCCTCTCCTCTCTCCTTTTCTCTCTCTCTCTCTCTCTCTCTCACTCTTCTCTTTCTTTTCTCCCTTTTCTTTTCACACCCCACCCTACCCTCCCTCCGTCTTTCCCACCTTCTCTTTTGTGGATATTTACACACTTGTAGTCAGAGTTTGAATAATTCTCATTGATGTTTGTCATATTTTCTGACTTTTACTTTTTCTTTCTGAATCAAGTCCTCAATTTAGAAATACAGATTTGACATAATTTTGAGCAGATTCCCTGGCCTAAAATTATAATCATTGCTACGTTACGTATTTCCCAGAACCTCCTCTGCAGACAGCTGTTTTGTTCTCTAGATCAGTGCACAGCAAATCACTGTCCAGGCCCAGCAGCAGAAAGTGACTTATGCTCCTCAGCCCAGCATTAAAACTCAGTTCCTGATGACACCTCTGTCCCAGACCCCAAAGCCCACAGGAGCCCACCAAGTGCCAGCCCCATTACAGGTATGGCAGGGGTGTCGCTGTACCCCTAAGGTGTCAGAGGTAACGCCTCCAAAGGACAGTCAGGCCAGTGTGCCATTGAGGTGCAAATTGTGCCTCTCAGAATGACCTTGCCCTGCTCCTCTTCACTCTTGCTGTGAGAGTCACAGGGAATGAAGGGCTCCTCCTATCCCTTGGCTTTGAGATCTGGGGCTCAGGAGTGGAGACAGAGAAGGTTCAGAGGCAGTAGCAGAGGGGATGGGGCTGTAAGGAAGTGCTCCATTACTGTAGGCCTTTTAAGTGCAGGCTGGATGGCTCCTTGTTAGGGACGTCTAGGGGGAATTCCCCCTCAGGCATAGGGTAGTCTCATTGGCCTCTGAAGCCCCTTCTTACATTGAAATTCCGATTCCCTTTTTATATTAACCTGCCCTCATACTTCTTTAAGGTGGCAAAGATTCCTCAAGTTGTTCAGCAACAAACAACAGTGGCCAGTATACAACAGATGGTTTCTGTTTCCCAGCAGGTAAGTTTCAGAAATTACTGAAAGTAGCTGACCATTGTCTGTATCTACAATGTTCATTCCATTACCAGACCTCAGTCCGTGTTCTGGTTGTCTTGGCCACTCTACTGTTCCACACTGTTTCCTTCCTAGCCTTCCCACTTCCCACCTCTGGCCTCTCTGCTGGAGTGCTGGCTCCGTTCTCCCACTCTTGGGCCTGTTTCCTCCATGCCGCTCCCTTCTCTGGGAATAGGCTCCCCTTTCCCATCTGGCAAACTGCTTCTCTCTCCCTTATTCAAACCTCTCTCCTCAAAACTTCTTCGGGAAAAGCTTTCCTAGGCCGCCGTAGACCCTCAGAAGATAGTCGGTGATGGGCACTCTGAGCTGCTAGCCACTGTCGTCTTTGCATTGGTTTTCCTACTGGACTGCACTTGTTTTGTCTTCCTGTTGTAGACTGGAAGTCCTTGGGGCAGGAAGTGGGTCATTCAGATCCAAAAATAAATTCAGTAGTAGATAGGCACAGTCTTAATTTTTATCTTGGGAATGCTGAGGCATTTTAGCTTGAGCTAAGCTCAAGCACCTGATTATTTAGGGGGTTCAGTGGGGAGAAGCAGCCAGTGGCAGCCAGTGTTGGTTTCTTAGTGTGTCCTCATCCTCTTAACTGTTGGTAAACAGTACCTAAGTATGAGGGCTGGTAAATGGGATTTTACCTGAGTGAGTGGGACAGCAGTGACTGTGCTGCTGTTTGTCCTCTCTCCAGAGGGAGCAAATGAGCTTTGGGCCCAAGCCTTTTAATGTGGCACCATCTACTTGTCCTGTCCCCTCAAATGTTTAGGTTCAACCTCAGCCACAAACTGTGACTACGTCCCAGACGGCGGCCGGCCTGCACCAAGTACAGGGGCTCCCTGCAACAACAGTGGCTCCACAGACAGTTCAGCAGAAACTTGTACAGCAACAAGGCGTGAGCCCTGCCACGCCACAGCTGCAGGTCCCGCCTGCCTCCGAAGGGCACGGTCAGCAATCCAAAGGGCAGATGCGGATGTCAGCGGTCAGATTAAAGGCACTGCCCAAGTCCAGCTGAAGGGCTGCCTGCATACAGTCAGCCAGAGGGAATTTGGAAATGCCGGGGAACGGTTATCTGACATTGTAAAGCACCTGTTAAGTTGCATTTTAATCTATAACTGTATGCAATTGCTGACTTCTTAAAAGATGACTCTTGCTCTTATTGGACCATCATTTCTAAAGTATCGATGCAAACTATGTAAAGAATGTCAGCTTCCTGTTCTTTTCATTTGAGAGCTCCACAGAGCTTGTCAGAAATCATTTTCTGTCCTGTTAAAAGTGGATGGTCCACCATGGCAGCCCCTGGTATCGTAGGCCATTCTGTCTGTTCAGAAGTAGGACTGACTGGCCTGGGCTGCAAGCTTTCTGAGTAACTGGCCCCCCTCCCCTTCCACAAGCAGTCCTGCCTAGTACAAGTCTGGGTGTAACGTGGTCCCTTAAATCTGTAGTCCTTCAGTGTGACCATCTGCGCCTAGCACTGCTTTGCACATTAGTAGGTGCCTAATAAATGTTTGTTCAATTGAATCTGGATGTATAGTTAAGATTTTAACAAAAGTTCATCTTCCATTCTTGTAATTCTTTTGAACTGGTAGTTCTGTGTACATTTCCTGAAGCTGTGTGTACGTGTGTGTGTATGTATGTGTGTGCGTGTTTGCTTTCATTCTTCACTTTGTGATAATGGTTATTCTTGGAATGTAACGAGTGTGTTCATCCTAGTTCTATGTATAGTAAAAACTGTAACCTTTTTGTAAAAGGAGTATTCACTTTGTATCTTGGAGAATTTCCTATTTGTCTAGTTTGATACTTCCAGTGTGGGAGAGTTTTTAACTGCTGGGGTTTAATTTAGGTTTCATTTGCTTTTGTGATGTTTCTGTGTTCAGTATAAAATCTATTCAGCCTTCAGCTGGGGAAGAGAGAAAAGTAAACAGAACCCAAGATTAATTCTGAATTGTGCAAAGAATACACTTTTATATGATTATTTTACTAAAGTGAATAAGAATAACGAATGTATATTCAGGTAGACGTTTGGAGGATGAGGTCACAGTCCAAGACTATCCTAAAGGAGCTTGCCTCCTTTTTAAAGAAATGATAGCATACAACATAGGGTACCAGGACTTCTCCACATAGGAACCTTCTGCAAATAAAGCTTGCTTACGGAAGAGGCCCAAGGAGCTTCTCTTAAATTGGTCCTGCCTTTTACTTTGACTGTGGCTCATGTGACAGCGACAAGGAGGATTCTTTCATCACATTTCATAAAGTGCATTTTTAAAAAGTATTTTTCCCCTGCAATGCAGGATTATTTGATGTTTTGGTGGTGGTTTAATTAAAAATAAAAGCATTTTTACTTTATAAAACAACTTTAAAGATATGACACCATTATTGGGATTAGGTGAAATGTAATGGCAATGCAAGAGATAGGGCTTCTCAGTTTCAACTAGGAAATACTATGTCCACTGGTTCTAGTCTAGGTCAAAACTATCAGGTCTTCTGGGCACAGGAATATTTTCTGGGCTATGCCCTTTCTCTGGGTCCTGACTGTGAAACCACTCTTTGATACCCACTTATCTTTCAGGACTTTCTAGATGGGCAGTGAGGTAGGCTCAAGGTGCCATCTGAGTTGGTTAAGTTTGGCAACAAAGGGAAGAAACATTTTGCATCCCTGGCATGTTGCTGCCTGTTTCAGTTAGCTTGTTGTTCCTTTGGAACATTCAGCTCTGGGTCCTGCACAAATATTGCACGGTCTGCCAGAAGCAGCTGGTTCTGTGGCCCATCAACCAAGCAGCAAAGATGGAAACACCGTTCTTAACTTGGAAAAAAAAACTCTCTCTCTCCCAGTGGTCAGCTGGTACTAGGAAGGCAGGGCCAAGTACGAATTACTGATGAATGTGGGCGCTAACTGTACTTGCTTTGTAGGACTGTATGGAATTGTGATGTATCCTACCAAACAGAGAGTGTAATAAAGTGTACATTTTTATAGTTGGTGGCATTCTTTCCAACGTAATACGGTGTGCAGGGTAAAATTTGAAATTTTTAGAAACTCATAATGAATAAACAGTCTAGAGGCACCCAGGGATTCACTCAGATAGGACATGTTTGCCTCCCCCTCGTCGTGCAGCTCCTTGCACGATAGGTGTGGGTTAACAGCTGATTTGAATCCAGCCTGATTGCCTCAATCTTCCCATAGGATGGAGGTGGTTTTCATTTCTGAAGTCCCTTGACCTTGTCTCTGTGACGGTCCTGGCCCCCAGCAGCACCGGTATCTGAAGTTTAGGTGTTCAGGCCATATGCACCTGCTTGGCCAGGAGAATGTCCCCTCCTCTACATTCATCCAGAATGAGCCTGGAGATATCCCATCTTCTCACTTCACTTGAGATCAGTATTCAGTACCGGTTTCTATCAAAACAAGTACAAAGAATGTTTTCTTTTCTTTCTTTCTTTTTTTTTTTTTGGCTTTTTGGTGAGGCAATCGGGTTAAGTGACTTGCCTAGGGTCACACAGCTTAGTAGGTATCAAGTGTCAGAGGCTGCATTTGAACTCAGTTCCTCCTGACTCCAAGGCCAGAGCTCTATCCACTGTGCCATCTAGCTGCCCCATGTTTTCTTTTTAAAATTAAGTTCTCTTATCCCATTCCCGCTATGATTGGTGGCCCAGCAATTACTGGGCTTGGTGGCTTGTTTTCAGGAGGCAGTTCCAGACAGTGATCAAGTCCGGTTCCCCGCACATCTGTGGCAGCAAGCATACACCAGCCCCCAAGGCCCAGTGGGTCAGCAGCACAATGCCTCCTTGGGCTTAGCCGAGCGCACGCCATCCGTGCCCTGCCAGACTCAGGCCTTCTTTTGTTTCCATTCGTTCTGTGAAGACAAAAGCCAGGGTGAGAAAAGAAGGCAGGGATCAGATCTCCCCAGAGCAGCAGGCTTGAGACTGAGGGGACAGGCAGAGCTGCTGCAGTACCCTCCTGCCTAGGAGACCGACCCAGCAGGCTTGTGGGTCTGCCTGGGGAACCAGCTCTGCTGCTTTGGCTTTTTCTGGGTGGGTAAGACCAGCCCTTCTTTGTGGGCAGCGCTGGATGCATGGTCTTTGCATCGCCCCGTGGGTCTATACTCCCTTTTCTGGTGAAGTCCTAGGACCCCAGACCTTGGGCACATTGGTAGCTAAGGCTCTTAGCCCCGGGCAGCTGGGTTGCTGCCAAATTCCCAAAGGAATGCTAGAAGTAGGCATGTCATTCAGATACACTGCCTAAACCCCTGGTTTGGCTTTGCCTACTTGGTCATTACCAGGTGTGAGAAGCTGTGGCTGCTACATTCCCTGCTCCCCTAGCGTGGGGAGCTGGCCAGCCCTGTGGTTGCTGAAGATGTCCCCCCGAGCCCTTACCCGGATGGTTTTCTGGAGCTCGGACAGCGCTTCCTCATACTGAGGCACCAGGGATTTCAGGTGCTCACTGCGGATTACATGCTTTCCCAGCTCTGGAGCTCTTGCCTCTCTCAGCATCTGAAGGAATTTCTGCTCCTGGAGATGAGAACAGTTCCGGCCAGGAGAGAACTGGGGTCATCTTTCCTCAAGCCATTCCTCAAAGGTAACTAGCTACTAGGAACAGATTCTTCTCTCCCAGGATACAGACCCTGACACAAGGAGTCTAAGGCACATATGGGGAGGGTGGCAGGGATGGGAACAGGACTTGTATCCTCATGGGGCTTACCTGGACTCTCAGGAGCAGAGTGAATGCCAGCCCTGTATTCCCAGCTCTGGCTGTTCTGCCTACCCTGAAATCAGACACAACACGGAGGCAAGTGCCCTGTCATTCCAGTTCAGGGGTTAGGTTAGTAACACAGATAACCAGAACCCCCAGAAGACTGGGGTCTAAAAGAAGAGGGACAGAAATACCCCATCCCCGATGGCCCCACACCCTCTTTACCGGTGCACATAGGTCCTGATGTACTGCGGGGCATCGTAGTTAAGAACAAGTTTCACTCCCTTCACGTCAATGCCTCGAGCAGTGGCGTCTGTGCTGATCAGGCTGTAATGAGGTCAAGGGAACAAATACTGCCCCACAGCCCCACTCTTCCCAGGCTGGACACTAAGCATCCCCTGTCACGGGCCTAGCTCACTGGGCCCATACTGGGCTGTACTGCCAGTGGAGGGGTCCGGGGGGCGCTGCTGGTTTAAGGACAAACAGTGAATGACCAGGGCTAAGCTGGTAGCTGCATTCCAACAGCATCCCCAACCCTTCTGTGTGCTCTGCCCTTGGTCCTCCAGCCCCCTCCCTCCATAATACTCACAGCTGAATCTTGCCCTGTTCAAACTGCTTCAGGATCATCTTCCTCTGGCCAGGTCCGAATCTGGAGGAGAACTCAGCCACAGGTACCCCCCCAAAGGCCTTGACCAGTAAGAACAATCTGGAGAGAAGTGAAAGAGGTGCTTAGCGGAGAGCGCACTCATTCCCATGGCACGTCCCGTGGCCTCTTCTGTGCTTCTGACCCTCACCTGTGTGAGACCTCCCGGGAGTTGGTGAAACACAGAACCCGTGAGAACTTCATGTTCCGCACCAAGTGCAGGATGGCCAGTGGCTTGGAGTTGAGGGTGCAGGGCACATAGAAATGCTGTGAGAGAGATGGACAGGGCTCGATGAGACCTACCTGGTGATCTGCTAGGAAACTGCAGAGTTGGCTATTACACCCATTCTTCTCAGTTGGGGACTGGAAGCTGTTCAGATTCCTTTCCCTTTTCCCTTATATCCCCGCAGGGTGGCCAGCCTCTGTCCCCTCCCGGGATCTTCCCCTGGGGCCCAGGAGGCCCTGCTCTTACTGAGAGCCCTGCAGGGAAGGCATACTTCCCCTCCCCATCTTGCTCAGTCCCTGGCTGAGCTACGGATCCTTGGCTGTCCGGGCCAGTGGAGAAGAGCCGGGGCTGGTAGAGGCCCAACTCCTGAAGCTTCTCAGGATTCCGAGTCAGCGTGGCCGAGAACAGCAGCTTCTGGAGTGGCATCTGAGGCTGGCTTGTGCTGAAACAGACAGAGCAGAGTGTCCGTGTGGGGTCTGGAGATAGCAACACTGCCAAACCCTGTTCTCCTGTGCCATTCTTCCAAGTTCCTTCCCCCACTAAAAAAGGAAATATCCTCCACAAGTAGGACTAGATGGCTGGCTGGCACGTGCGCCTCTTCCCTTCCTCCTCTCCCCACCAGGCCTGGCTCCTTTCTGAAAGGGGACCTTTGTTTAACAGAAATGACCAGTCACAGTCCCATTTTCCTGAGGAGGTGGGTGGTATGATGTGGATTAGTGGTCAGAGAAAATCCAGCCCCGTTCCAGTACCTGGCAGCAGTTATAGCTCGGGGTTCCACCCTCTGGAAGAGTGGGCTGGAGCCTGGGGCACTGTCACCCTGGAAAACTGCTTTTACCACCCGCGGCAGCCAGGACTGGTGCATGCTGTCAATCATGCGGTCGGCTTCATCGATGATCTGTAGAGTGGTGGGTGGCCGTGCTCAGAGGAACCCTGGGGAAGCTCCTGAGTGACAGGGCCCCTGCTCCCAGGAATGCTCCAGCACTGACATCTCCCAGCCACCCCGTGCCTTCCCCCACCAGCAACCAACCAACAGGTAATACTGTGCTCAGTGCCCCAGTGGCCACTCTGGTCATTATCCCCAGCTAGGCTGCACCAGGTGGCAGACAGAAGCCCAGGCACTGACCCAGACTAGGTCTGTAGCTGACAAGGCAAGTCCCGGGCTGACTTACCAGAAAGCGAAGCTGCCTGAGGCTAAATCCTGGTGTCTGATCAATGTGGTCCACCAGCCGGCCAGGGGTGGCTACGACAATGTCTGCCAGGCTGCAGTACCCTGAGTCCCTGCAACACCGTACAACACCACTGTGACTCTGGTGACCAAGTCTGATTCAAGATGGAAGGAGTTTCCCTCTTCCTTCCCACTGGTCTTGGAAGGGCCGCTCTAGCCTTGAACTTCCCCCAGAAGAGGCACAATCCTAAGCACCCTCTTTCACAGTCCTCACAACAGCCCCTGGGGGTCCCAAAAGGGTCTGGCATTAGACACAGTGGAGCATATTTAGTGTGGGAGGAAGACCAGGTCAGCTCTCTTGTGGGACAGGCCACACAGGAGGCAAGCTCCTGCTTGTGGAAGGGTGTAGGCATTGTCCAAGGGAAGAGAGGCAGGGAACTGGGTGCCAGGAACTCAATTTCAGAGCTGACAAGGCCGGGGACACGCTGAATGTGCCTGGCCAACATCAGCCAGGGAGGGAGAGCTGACTCCACCGGCCTAAGGGGCCTGACACAAGGAGTCAGCACGGACGCAAGAAAACCTACGTCTTCTGGACGAGGATCTCTTGTTCCTTCGCTAGAGATTTCTGCCCCGTGATCTGGGCGATGCGCAGAGCTGTGCCATCGGCATAAATGTTGAACACTTTGCTCACCTGGAAGGAGGGAGCAGGGTTCAGCACTAGCAAACATACAGGATCATCTCTGTGGAGCACAAGCTCCCTGAGGTAGGGACCATCAGCCTTTCCCACTTACATCCCCAGCAACCAGGTCAGTGGCCAGCACCAAGCAGGCACTTCATAAAAGCCACCAATGGACTGGCCAGCATAAGGCCTGCAGTGCCCAAGAGTAGCAGCTGGGCTCTGTGGGCAGAAAGTGCCCTGGAGACAAACACTACTAGGATTCAGCTCCCTCCACAAGCAGCCATCCACGTGATGCCCCAAAAGCAATACTTTCAGCCAAATAAGCAGGGACAGTAAGAGCCTATGTCCTGAATGCCTTTGGGAGTCCAGTGAAGCCTCCCCTTCTCCCAATATTTTTAGAGCATAAAATAAAATAACACATGATTCCAATGAAAACCAATGATATTGAAATAAAAATGTAACTTTTTTCCCATCCAACTTCACGGACTCACTGAAAGCTAACCACAGAGCCCCAAGGGAGGTGGGGGCCTACAGAGCCCAGGCTACGAAGCCCTGGACTGGAGGGAGGAAGGACTTCCGGGCCAAAGCAGCACAGCACACCAGGGAGAACAAAGGGCCACTAACCTGCTGGGCCAGCTCCTTCGTTGGCAGTACCACCAGGGCCCGTATGTGGCACACTACCCGCTCCGACAGGACCTGGGGACCAATCCAGAGAGCCTCAAAGACGCTGCCTTCCTGCTGACCCCCGCCTGACCCCTTCCCCGTTCAGTCGGGGACTGTGGCCAGGAAGCACTCAGCAACCCTCTGGAGGCGGGTCCCCCTGGAGCAGCAGAGCTCCTTGCTTACCTGGATCACGGGGATGACAAAGGACAGTGTTTTTCCACTGCCTGTTGGGGCAGACACACAGATGTCACTGGGCTGGTAGCCACCCCTCCCCACCAGGAATCCATGGGATGCACTCTCCAGGAGGGCAGGAATCACCGCTGCCTGAACTGGACGGAGCAGAGAACAAGATGGCGGCTCAGTAGGGAACAATAACAATGACAACGATAACAGAAACAACGGCTGATGCTTACCTGTCAAGTGCTGTAAATACACCCTACCTCACATGATTCTCATAAAGCAGGTGCTACAGGTAACAGTACCACCGTTTCAGAGAGACAGATTGTGGTCTAGAGAGGTTCTGCGATGTGGCCACTGTCCTACTGCCTTTAAATGTTGGAGGTGGAGTGCAGGGAGCCAATATTACATCATACCACACGTCTCTAAGGATGGACATCACCAGAGCCATTCCTGTCTATACAGGACAAGCCAGACTGAAACCCGGACCGAAGGCCACAGAGCATGAGAGAAGCAGAGGGCAAACGAGTTGTAAGACACTGATGTGGCCGAGGTCATCCTACTGTCCCAACTTGATGGAGAGAAGGCCCACGTCCAACTTGCCCCAGACTAGAAGGGGGCCATCATCAGGGCCAGAAGAGACAAGAGCACCTTGTCTCCTCAGCCGAGCTCGCACTGCCCTCCCTGCTATCCTTCTGGGTCCGAGCCTCTGCCCATGAGACTCTCATAAATCACTGGTTCTCACACCACACTGCGGTTTTAAGGACACCATGACCATCAAGACACAAACCAACCAAAGGGTGAGAGGGCAAGGCTGCCTCAGACTGCCCCTTGTGTTTTCAAGGAAGGCAAAGCAGCTGTGTGCAGTCTTACTTTCCCGTAAGGGATAACCTGAGGTCTCAGAGAAGAATGTCTGGGTGTGAAGGACAATACTTTGCAGCTCTGGGGGCTACTACTTTGGAAACAGCAGACTGGGGGGGGGCCTTGCGGCTGAGGGAGCAGATCGTGGTATCGAGGCTACCTGGAAAATAGGACATGATGCCGTTTGTCTTTAATTTCTTTTGTAGGCAAGGATGGATTCCAGGGATATCCTGGATTGGGACAAGGTCATTTTTGACGCTCTTTTGGACCTGGCTGGGTTCTGCAAGCCATTTGGGTAAGAAAGGCTGGACCTGTGAAAAGAGTGACAGAACAGTAAAGAAGGGCGTAGGAAATAAAATCAAGACCAGGGACAAGGCTGATAGGCACACTCACACTGCCCTGTAACATAGGCGCATCCCCAAATCAACACCATCACCCGCAAACCTCTCTTCACCGGCTAACACCAGCAGACCTGTGGCAAAGGTCAGAGCTGCGGTGGGAGCAAACACTGACATCCCGGATGTGAGAACTCGCTGCCCTGTCACCAGCCTACCTTTGGAAGGGCCTTCTTGTCTGGCACTCCCAGAATGAGCACGCTGTGCTGGGGTTCACTGGCCTCTGCCGAGGGCTCACAGGCTCTTGTGGAGTCCTTTTTATCTCCCTGCTCTTCACAGCTTTTACCTGAAAAACAGGGAATTGGGAGGAGGGGGTGTGAGAGAGATAAACTGCATCAGTCCTTCTCTGACATGTGTAGCCTGTGTGCATCACTAATGCTGCCCATCCTGTGATCCCAGCTTCCCGGTGCCATCTTGGGCAGGGTTTTCTCACCTGTCTTCTTTTTCTTCTTTCTCTTTGGTTTTCTGGGGCTGCTGGTCCCTTTTTGGCTGGACATGGGGTCTGTCTCTGATTCCGACTTTTCTAACCTGCGGGGGCTCCCATCCCCTCGTTTCCTCTTCTTGGCTTTTCTTTTAGGCTCCTCTGGGGCTGGAGAACTTAGGCTAGTTTGTGCAGGCCCGGGGGGTCCTGGGGCCACGTCCCCAGGGGAGCTGGTCTCAGCCTCGGCCTCCTGCTGCTTTTGCTTCTTGAGCTGCCGCTCCTGGGCCTGAACCCGAAGCCTCCGCAGGAGCACCTGGGCTTGGTCCTCAGCACTACTTGATTTTTCTTGTTCCTCATATCTGGGATAAAGGAAGTCGTTAGTGCCTGAGCCAGGCCCTGACCTCAGAACAGTGTGGGTTGTTGGGGTGGGGAGAGAAGCACTCTCATTCCCTTGGCCCTATCCAGTCAATTGTTGCTCTTCTCTGACCCTAATTTTTTTCACTCCTTTTATTTTTAAAATAAGTTAGCAGAAACTTAAATCCAACAATTAAGTCACACCTAATGACAATTACACCTAATTCACAACCAAACTCATGACCTTCAAACATAGAGAATTCTAGGACAATCTAACAATGCTCATTTATAAAGTACTCCCTCCCAACAATCCTGACTAAGATAATGTGAAGGTTATCATCTCATTTTACAGAGGCGGAACCTGAGGCTTCATGATGTAAGGACACATGTCCAGGGTCCTGTTGGCAAGCAGTTAATTGGGCCTGAAGCCTTAGTAGTCTGACTCCAGGTCCCAGGTGATGTTCCCGGCACCGTGCCACTTCTGACGTACTGCCTTCCTCTGGGCCCCTTCCGTCACCATCATTTTCCAGACTGCCCCTCTTTCCTTTGCCCCAAGAAGGCTGGAGGGCTCGGAAGCAGAAAGGAATCATCCTTCTTCCTCACTTTTCACATCCAACCATTTGTCAGGTGTGGTCAGTTTTCCCTGACATCTGTCCCCTCCTCTCCCATTCATTCCTATTCCCACAGTCCTGCCTGGACTATCAGAACAGTCTCCCAACTGGACCTGCTTGCCTCCACCCTCTTCCCCTTCTAATCCATCTTTCATACATGATGCCATTAGATTGATGACAAAGTGATCTGTAACTGCCCAGGGCTGACCACATCTACTCCTCTGCTCCAAGGCCTTCAGTGACTCCCAAATGTCTACAGAACAAAGTGTAAACTCCATAGGCTAGCCTTCAAGGCACCTTGGAGAAGGAGACAGAGCACTGGCTTACAGCTAGGGGAGACTGCTTTGAATCTCCACTATAATACTTGCAAACTCTGACCACAGGCAAATTACCAGACATGTCTGGGCCTCAGTTTCCTCATCTGTGAGATGTAACATGGGTAGCACCAACCTCCCCAGGATGCTCCTGGGTAAAAGAGGCATGCAGGGCAGGTGCTTTGTGCAATGTTGATGTCTGCCATAAGGATCTGGTTTCCCAGACTCCTATCACTCTACTCCTCTCCACAACCCTTCTTCAGACTCAGTTCAACAAAGAGAGTGTCTACTATATGCCAGGCCTCAGGAGGTGCCAGGGAGGGAGGAGGGAGGGATACAATGATGAGAAAAGGCAGCCTTCATCCTCAGGGAGCACATAAATCTTTAAGGGATGATATGCCTCACTGGTTAAAAAAAAGCCACGCAAAGTACTATGGGGACAGAAGGAGAGACAAAATGCCATGGGAAAAGTTTTGGAGGGAGAGATGAACTTCAGGTAGGGGGATCAGGGAAGGCTCACAGTCTGGAAGGAAGAGGTCGATCTTGACAGGCAGAGATGAGATGGGACATTCCAGGCATGGAGGAGGGGACAGGCTAGGTATGTGCAAGCAGTAGTCCAACATAGCCGGAAGAAAAAGTGCATGGAGGGAAGGGGAAGGGGAATGAAATAAGGCTGGAAAGGTAAGATGGAACCATTTTGTGCAAGGCCTTGAACGCCAGGCTGAGGAGTCCATATTTATTTTCTCATAGAGGAAATGGGAGCCACGGAAGGTTTTTGAGCAGAATGAAGTGGTCAGACATGTGCGCTGCTTCAAGCTGGGCATCCCCTCTGCCAGTGCAGGGCACAGCCTGTTCATGCCTGCCTGGGCCACTGATGGGACCGGCACATGAAGAGCATTAATTTGGCAGCTCTGTAGAGGATGAACTGGAATAGGGAGAGAGTGGAAGTGAGGAGGCGAGTTAAGAGGCTATTCCACCAGTCTAAGAGAAAAGGATGTGGGGCTAAATTGGAAGGGCTGCACTGAGGGGAGAAAAGGGAGCAGATGTGGAGACAGAAGTGACAGGGCCTGGCCACTGAATGGCTGCTGTGGGTGAGGGTGAAGGAGAAGGCGCCAGGACGCTGGTCTGTTAGCTCCCTCCTCCACACCTGCCTCCTGAAACCCTTCTGGTCCTTCGAGACTCAGCCTGGGCCTGGCCTCCTCCAGGAAGCCTTCCCTAATGCCCTTGGCTCCTTCTTCTCCTCTGTCTGGATCGCCACCTTTTCTCCATTCTGTTCCAGATGAGAAAACTGAAGCCTGGAGAAGGCCCATCACTTGGCAGCGTTCCTGGGTGGCGCAAAGCCATGACACCCTGGACCAATGCACTCTGTGTCTATCACATGACCCCTTCCCTGTCTTCCTCCTCCGCCCTCTCTGCAGCACTTGATGGTCGTGTGCCCTCCTGGGTTTTCTTAATCTTCTCTCCTCCCTCGGCTTCTGGGACGTGAGCCTTTCTCATGTAATAGCTATTATTACCATTATTATTTTTTTAAACACAAATAGTTAAGGTGGGATTTGAATACAGGTCTTCTAACTCTAAATCTGATGCTCTTTATTCAATACCACCTGTCTCTTATCATGACTGATATTTAATACTTGAGAGTTGGTATATCACTGAACATATGTGAGCTCACACATACAGGTATTATCTCTTTTCTAGATGAGGAACTGAAGGTTCTGAAAGGCCTGACTTCTCAGAACTAGAAGTGTAAGAAACCAAGGACTTCCTGACTCCAAGTCTACTGTCTGTCCTTTGGACCACACTTTCTTTTTTTGGGGGGGGGTGGAGTGGCATAGGGGGATGAGAGCTATTTCTCACAGACAGGATGAGTGAGAGTTAGGCCTGGAGCCTAGCCTGGCTCTGACTGACATGTAGCTTCACCGTCTCCACACATTATCATAGATTTAGAGATGGAAGGCACCTTAGAGGTCATTAATCCGCCTCCCCTTGATTTACAGATAAGGAAACTGAGACTTGAAGAAAGTAAGTGGCTTGAACAGGGTCACACTGCTAGTGTCTAAGGTGAGATATGAACCCAGGTCTTCCTGCAGAGCAGTGCCCTCTCCACTACCCCCTGCTTCCTTTTATTATCATAAAAAGAACTGGCCTTTACATGTTGCTTTAAAGTTTATACATTTTAGGTTTGCACGTTTTAAAGTTCACATCTTCACAGCTCTGTGAGGCTGGTTCTCAGGCCCATTTCACAGCAAAGAGATGAAAATTCTGACTGAAGGTTTGCTAAGCTCTTCCCATGCATCATCTCATTTCATCCTCACACCTCTGAGGGAGGTGTTCTTCTCACTCCTGTTTCACAGCAGAAGAAACTGAGTCTCAGACGGCAAGTCACTTGCCCACAGCATGTTCCACAGACCAGATCCAAGCCCTGACTTCAAGAGCTCAGCAGTTTATCCTTCACATTCCTCGCAGGTGAAGCTTACCTCTGATCACATCTCCTCCCTAGCTCGAAAGACCTTCCATGGCTCACTGCTGGTTACTGAATAAATTCTGAGGCTATACTTGGCATTCAAGGCCCCCTATAAAATCTGGCTCCAATTTATCAGCGCATTGGGACAAACTCGCTGTGGGGCATAAAGCGGGTGCTTAAGGGAGGTGGGATGGAAGTGGTGGTGGGGGGGGGAGGGGAGGGACCTTCCCTCCTCCCCTCCCCTCCCCTGCTCCTTCTCCCCTCCCTATCCTGCTCCTCTCCGATTCCCCCCCCGCCCCTCTATCAATCCCCTCTCTGGCCCCGCCCCTCACCCCAGCCCCGCCCCTCTCCCATCCCTGCCCCCACTCACTCCCTTTCTGGCCCCGCCCACTTCCTCAGCCCCCGCCCCTTACAGGCTCTGGCCCATCTCTTTTTCTCTCTCTGCCTCCGCCCCTCCTACCCCTGGCTCCGCCCCCCTCCTCCAACGTGGGAGGGTGGTGGCGGTAACATTCTTGGGGCAAGTAACAGGGAAGTGTCCCGGACGTTCCTGGCAGCAGCCAGACCGTCCGAGCCCACAGCGCCCGAACGCCAGGAGTGAGCCCTGCAGCGCGCCCCGCTTACCTGGCGATCCGGAAGAGCGCCATCCCTCGGGCCGGCTCCGGCGCTCTCCGCACGCGCCTCCAGGTGCTCTGCGCAGGACTCCGGCGCGGCGAGATGACGTCACGACACGCGCCTGCGCTGCCCACGACGAGAAGGGGGCGGAGCCGGGTCTCCTTGCCCCACCCACTTCACTTCTTCCGCCCTCGCGAGCCTAAAGTCACCGACCTGAGGGCCACATGGAGTCGGAGTCTGGGGCGGCGGAGCTGGGCCGTTGGCTGGAGGCCGCCCTGAAGAGCCGGAGCGGCGCCAACGCCGTGTTCGACATCCTGGGCGTGCTGCAGGTGCGAGGGGCCGGGGAGAGGTGGAGTGGGGTTCATAGGGAGACAGGAAAAGCCCTAGGGAGGGTGAGATACCGCGGAGGGACACAGGGGGCGCCGTGCGCGGCGAGAGGCCCGCGGGGGCGGGGCACGGGAAGGGGACCGGCTGGGGGTGCTGTGCGGGGTTGGGGGGACTCCACTTGGGAGGGGGCCACGCAGCCCGAGTAGTGTGGAGAGCCCCCAGAATGGAATTCCGAAAATACCCGGTGTCCCCAAAGTCTTGGTGCAGTGCTAAGCGATTGACGTCAGTCTTAAGCTATTGAAACCTTAAATGGGTTAAAGGCGTTCTGAGCTGTTTACTGCTTACGTAAATCACTTAAGTTTTAAGCTGTTCAGTCATTTTTCAGTCGTGTCTGGCTTTTTGTGACCCATTTGGGGTTTTCTTGGCAAAGATACTGGAGTGGTTTGCCATTTCCTTCTCCAGCTCATTTTACAGATGAGGAAACTGAGGCAAACTGCGTTAAGTACTTGCCCAGGGTCACACGGCCAGTAAGTGTCTGAGGCCAAATTTGAACTCTGGGAGAAGCCGCCTTCAGACCCAGAGCTCCTTGCACTATGGCACCACCTAGCTGCCCCATTGTTAGCGTAAATGTCAGTAAGTTTTAAGCTGTGGGTAGTTTATGGCTTAAGTAAATCACATTTTAAGCTGTCCATAGCTTAAGTAAGTCACTTAAGTTTTAAGCAGTGGACAGCTTAAATAATTTTTTTTTAAAGATTTCGATTCAGTAAATAGTTGTTAAGTGCCTACTAGGTGCCAGGCGCTGTGCTAAGTACCAGGGATACAAAAAAAGAGGCAAAAGACAGTCCCTGCCCTCAAGGAGTTTACAGTCTAATGTGGGGGAGGGGAAGCACAACATGCAGACCCATATATGTATGTAACATGTTAAATGCACACAGAGCACAGCTTAAATAATTTTAATAAATTTTAAGCTGTTGAGAAGAGTAAAGCAGTTGAGGACTTGTTACTGACCCCTCCCACCTCCTGTCCCCACTCTCAGTCTGATGAGGAAGATGATATTCTCAGCGCTACCCACACCTGCAGCCGGCTCTTTGGGGCCCTGCTGGAACGAGGCGAGCTCTTCGTGGGTCACCTCCCTGAAGAGGAGGCAGCAATGGCAGGTGAGGATGCCTTGTCCTAGGCAGACGTTCCCTCTGCCCACCAAGATACCAGCCCAGCCCCAGTTGTCCATGCTAATGGAAGGTGCAGTAGTCCAGAGAACAGAGGTAGTGCCTCCTACCTAGTGGCTCTTATATTCATTTAAGGAAGAAAAGCTGGAGGTGGTTCAGAGGAGGGTGAGGAAACCAAGATGGTCAAGGGCCTTGAGATGCTGTTGTGGGAGAATCTCTCTTTTTTTAAAAAATTTTATTAATTTATTTTGATTTATCAACAATCACTTCCATATGCTTTTGAGTTGAAAATTTTTCTCCCCCTTCCTCCCCCCCACCCTCCCCAAGACGGCACACAATCTGATATAGGCTTTACATTTACATACCTATGAAACATATTTTCACATTAGTGAGGTTGTAAGTAAAAATTAAAACCAATAGGAGGAACCATCAGAAAGATGAAACAAAACTCAACAGAAGGTAAAAATAAGTGATAGCGATTTGACTTCCATAGTTCTTTCTTTGGATGTGGACAGCATTTTCCATCTCGAGGCCCCTGGAGATGTCTTAGATCCTTGTAATGCTGAGAAGGGTTCAGTTTAACAATCTTAGTTAGTCATTGCATAACGTGGCTGTTATTGTGTACAGAGTCCTCTTGGTTCTGCTCACTTCACTCAATGTCAGACCATATAAGTCTTTCCAGGTTTTTCTGAAGTCAGCCTGTTCATCATTTCTTATAGCACAATAGTATTTCATTACATTCGTATATGTGGGAGAATCTCGTGTAGGAACTGGGGCTGTTTAGCCTAGAAAAGAGAAGATTGAGGGGAGATCTGTGCTGCAGGCTTGGAGTTAGGAGGGCTTAGCTTCAGATCTTGTCCCTTCACACAAGCCATGTAACCTTGGGTGGGACCCTTCTCTTCTCTGGGCCTCAGTTTCATCAGCTGTAGAGTGGGGATAATACGGACTAGTGCCTGGCTTGTAGGGCAGTTGTGAGGCTCAGTTGAGATGGTAGGGAGGTAGATCGATCAATCAATCTCTTTGCCAACTGTAATGTGCCATGTAATTGGATGTCGGTTATTACTTTGTGCTCCAGGTGTTAGACCTAGAGCAGTGTGCAGAAGTAGAGATGGATTTAGGCTCGATGTAAGGACAATCCCAGTAACAGTCTGAGTTGTCTATCGGTGGGCTACCTGAGAAGAAGGTTCTCCATTATTGGAGATCTTTCAGTAAAGGCATTTGCCATGCTGCTCATGGAGTAGAACTTATGGGACATCAGACTGTATAGTATCATGTTCAGTTTGGCCTCTTCTTTATGATGCCTGTGATTCTGTGACATTTCTATAACATTTTAAGGATAACAGGGATTTCCTTGTAACAGCTCTGTGATGTATTGTCCCCATTTTACAGAAGAGGAGACCGAATGTCACAAAGTTAAATGACTTTCCTGGGATCACAGGGATAATAAGTGGCCCAGTCAGGATTCTAACCCAAGTCTTCTGACTTTCAAGTCTAATACTATTTCTTTTTGAAGAAAAATTACATACTACATAGTAATCGAAAATCCTTTCCCAAGTTGACTTCAGAATATATTTTGTGGTATGTTTGGAGGAGAGAGGGTGGTCACTTATCCTGTGGTGGAACCAGAAAGTGCATAATTTTGGTTTGACTGTAGCCTTTGGGCTTAGGACACTCATGAATGTTGTCTTCAAGTGAACATGAGGGAGGCTGCTGGGGAAATCTCCCATAAACTTGTGAGGTTTTACTGTGGTGTGGCTGGAGTGCTTTCGTAGACTCTGCCTCAAGACATGAGCTACTGCATATTGGGGATTGTGGAAGAGAGAATGCCAGGGCAGAAACAATGCTTGTCCCCAGGCTCTGGCAGTGCCCTGCAGAAGTATAAGGTGTGGATGAGACACCGCTATAACAGCTGCTGCAGCCGCCTCGCTGGGCTCTTGGGCCATCGTTCTTTCAAGGTCAAGGTGAGTCTGGGAGTTAGAGAGGCCAAGTTGCCCCCAGCTGCTTCTTTTCTTCCCCATCCTCCATTTGCCTCCAAGACACCTTCAGCAAAACTCCAAAGCTGTACAAAGCAGCCAGTGCTTGGAGAGCAAAATGAGTGTGTGGGTCGGAAGGAGGAATGGATGGGATAGAAGACATGGGCCTGTGGCACTTCCCACTCTCCTTAGTGGGTGCAGAGCTTTTTTTCCCCATTGCTCTGGAATGGAGCATTTCATTTCCTGTTAGACTCCCTGCTGCTCTCTCCCTCTAGCTCTTAGAGACTTGGAGCATGATTTCTAGAGACTGACTTTTTAAGGTCCAGGTGTGAAAACATGGGATTTGATGTGACTCTTTGCAGATCACCCCCTCATTAGCTGTTCACATGAGAAGAAACAGGCTAGGCCATTGGTAGCCGACTGATATAAGCAGTGCAGGTGCCCAGTTATCTCTGACTAGTGTTAGGCAGCACAAACAAAGCTTTTGGATGAAAGAGGCTTATTCTGTTTTTCTGAAAACAGACCTATTCGTCCTAATAGTCTCAAATGCCCTTAAATGAGATTTAGGATGGTTTCTGCATTTTAGCACAAACATCATTGTAACTACAAATTCCAGCACTGAAAACATGATTGGGTCATTCTGTGCAGTGAATTCCTGTGGCATTTTCCCTAAGTCCACCCAGCAGGCTGCCCACAGGCCCTCCATCTGCACTCAGGACCAGATAAGAAGTGGAGGCTGGACCCTAGGAATAAGAAAGCTAGGCTAGTTATAAAGAACACTCTGTCTGCTTTCACCCCCCCCCCCCCGCCCAAAGCAGCAGTTCTTGTTGCTGAGGGTGAGCTTTCCCGTGGCCTGGGCTGAGAGGATTCATGGGCTGGGTGCTGGCTGCTTCCCACTCCCTGGGCCTCCTGTTGTGGGATCCATGTGTTCACTCTTGTCTCTCTTCTCTTCCCTCCCTCCTTAGGAACTGGCCCTTTGCACACTCATGAAGTTTGTGCAGCTAGAGGGGGCACACCCACTGGAGAAGTCCAAATGGGAAGGCAACTATTTGTTCCCTCGAGGTCTCCTCTTGGTATGGTGCTTGGTTGGGGAGGACTGGGGGAATGAGGATGGCTTAGTTTTTTATCATTGGTGGCTGTGGAAGCGAGCAGTGGGACAGCTAGTTCAGAAATCGCTTTTGCTTGGTTTTGTAGGACATTATATATTTTGGGATCTTTTTCATTTAACTAGTGTTTATTGAATGCTGTGTGCTGGGCACTGTCTCCTTGTGGTTTGGCTCAGTCTCATTTAGTTTGCATTCTGGGGGTGTGGAGCTGGGAAGGGGAGCTGCCCTGGTATTAAAAGTTACTCTCAAATAAAACCCCCAGAGTAAACAATGGAAATTTGCTCTATTCATGTAATGAATTCAGATCCTTTTCTTTCTTCCTTCATCAAATCTATATACACACTGCAGATCAAAACAGGCAGTCCCCTGAAATTCCTTTTGTCTCTGCCAATGAGATTGAGAAATTGAAGTGCTTCCCTATCCCGTTTCACCCCATAAAGGGACCAAGAGAGGGGCTGTCTCTGCCGTTTCCTCAAGTGTAAACAGCTAAAGCATCAACCTTCTCCCCAGCCTCTCAAAGCAAATCTCGCAGCAT